TTAAAAATAAGGAAATCAACATTTTAAGCAGCTTACCAAGTCATCACCTATCCCCTTCAAAATATTCGCCAGCTTTGTCGATGCATTTTTGCCACCGTTTCTTCAATTGGGAGAAACACTGTTGAAAATCCGCAGGTTTGAATGATCGCAATTCCTTCAAGGTGAAACCGTCAACCGAGAATATTACAATGGTGTTCTGAGACAGGTATGAGTTCTGGAAATTTTGGCTATACTTGGTTGCTCAACGCTACTTAACAGTAAATGTTCAACGGTGACTTGATGATAAAGAATGCCATAGGGCGACATTCCGCCGAAAGGCACCTGTGTGGGTTCTTTACATTATGGTCACAGTTGATTGCTAAACGCTACCAAACCATGGCTAAGGGCGACATTCCGCCGAAAGGCACCTGTGTGGGTTCTTTACATTATGGTCACAGTTGATTGCTAAACGCTACCAAACCATAGCTAAATGATCAGAAATTCCATTTGGCGACACATGTTAACACTCTTTGAACATCTGAGGTATGAGTTCTGAAAATTTTGGCTATACTTGGTTGCTGTTCCTATTTTTTCCTTTCAGGTCCTTGTAATATTTCAGATTTTTTCCTCCTCATTAGTTGCTTTTTTTAAGTAAGGGCGTATCTCGATTGCCATGTGAGCTGTGTTCTTCATACGACACTATGCTTTCCTGGGCTCATGGGAAAATTGAGATACGCGCTATGTCAGAGGAGCAACATTTTATAGTAACTAAAGATTAATGTATTTTAAGATATTTGTGGTACAGAGCCGTTAATCAGTGCATAACAGGACGTATTTATGCGAAAAGGAACTACATGCAAATTAAAGAAGGTGAAAGGAAGTATAGAGCATGCAAACCCTATGCACATAGTCCCTTTTGATTGGATCATCTTCACTCAATTCTTTTACCAGGGTGTCTACTAAAACAGACGGGCCAAAAATCAGTACTTTTTCAGTACATTCCCAAAAAATTCGGTACCCCGTCGATAGAAAAATTCAGTACCTTTTCAGTACCTCCAATTGACGAAATTCGAACAATTTCAAAAATTTGAATTTCTCGCTCAAATTGAGACAAAAATGACCATAAAATGAAAAAAATTCCGGACCTATTGCAGAATTTCCGCATTTTTCAGTACTTCCAGACCCCCCTTGAAAAATCAGTACTATTTCCAGAAATTCCGGACTTGTAGACACCCTATTCACACATAAATACGTCCAAATAACGATCATGGCCCTAGAAAGCCATTAAGACTTGGAAATTATTCTGGAAGGGGGCTCTTAGTCGTAAATAATTACGCTGAAGAGACATAATGGGTCAGTTGTGCTGGTCACAGAGTCGAGTTTTGATGCTCCATTCTTGCAGATCAACTAAAAATAATAAGATCCAACAACCGAGATATTGTGCCTTGAAAAACTCGAATTATGATGTCATCAACCGCAGTAGTACATACCATGTTATGCACTACCGCGGTGGATAACCTCAAAAACCCGACTTTTCAACGGACGATATCTTGGTTGATATTCAATACCTATAGAAAGTTGCTGTTTAGACAGATCTTCTTATTTTCAGCTTCTCTACAAGGATCGAGCATTAAAACACGATTCTGTGACCAACGCAACTGGCCCATTGCTTCTTTTAAGACATTAATTCTTATTTCCATTTGAGGTAACAAAATGCTGACTATTAAATGGTGACTTCTATACAGGATGATGCAAAAGTCTCGCACTACTAGCGCGGGGCATCACTCCTGTAATTTTTCAACAAATTGAAGCAGAGACTTGTAATTTTTTGAGTGCTTCCAGGTCAAAGGAAACGACTTGTGGAAACCCCCCAAAATTGTAGAGGGACTACCCTGCAAAGGGCAAGAACCTCAGGGGTTACAGGGATGGTGCGCGACTTTTGAATCACTCCGTGTAATGATGCGACTACTAGCTTCGTTTGATTGTAGTCACTAGTGTCTTTAAACGTCTCATATCAACTTGTATACTGATTCCATTTGCCATAGCTACAAATTCGTTTGATTGTAGTCACTAGTGTCTTTGAATGTCTCATATCAACTTGTGTACTGATTTTATTTGCCAAAGCTACAAAGGTAATGAAAGTATGCAAAAATTGGACAAGTATGTACCAAAAATTAATTTATTCTTTGAAATATAATTTAAACTTTACAAAATAATAACATAACAACCCCAGAAATATCAATATACCATTTACATGAAATGAATACGACACAACGAATAATGAAGACTAGAATTGAAAATTTGGAACAACTTGCTTGAGGCTGTGTTTGACATACTTCTACATGTAATTCAACAAAGAACAGGGTTGTGTAACTCTTTGGAGATTGAATGTCATACATGCCAAATTCCATGAATGTCCATTTATAAAAATTAAGAACTGAACAGTGATGAAGCTTATTAAAAAAAAACAATTTCTTTACACTAATTTGTCACTTGGCTGACCATATGGCGTAACTCCACTTAAAGGTGAACTAGGGAAATATAGCTGTATATATTATAAGAAGGTGCTGAAATTGTGCTGAGCCCACATTATTTCGCAGGGAAAACAAAGCCAAAAAGTTCTAAGTTCCCCAACTTGCCTGATAATTTTTCTCAGGTTTTCCTGGTTTTGTTAGCGGAGTTGTTCAGCAGCAACGGTAGATGGCGCAAGAATCACACTTTTGTGTCATGCCTTGTGTCATATTCATGTCGGCGTTTCGATGCCGTCTTGGATTTTGCGGGATGCTAACTTAGGTTCAGTCACGAGAGTGATCTACTGATGGGGTCTAAAAAGACCCAAAACGTTAGAGGTATCTCAGCGTGACCTCAACTTAATATTCCAATGCAAGCTGCCTGAGCTAAACACTCCCGCCTCTCAGTCTTGTACTGGTTCTTGTTAGAGCTAAAAACTTTGATTCTAATTGAAATTTTTGGCTTTGTTTTCCCCGCGAAATGGTGTGGACCCAGCACCATTTCACCTCCTTACTACTTACAGTTTGGGTCATTTCTTAGTATTTTTTTCTTGTATGTATACATTATATGTATAAATATATAATATATTCATTGAATTATATGAACAGCAGGGCTCATCGCAAAGTGTATTTACATCCAGATGTCAGGTGGGCAACAAATTAGCTCGTTTTTCTCGTCTCTAAACAGGCTGGAGGTAAAATTGATGATAATGATCTGTTCCATCCATTTTTTTTCAGCAAAAGGGTGGAAAAACTGGTTTACAGCACCATTCACAATATAGCTGAAACATTTTCACATCATTAAGAGTTCTTACAAGTTAAACACTTTCTGCTGAACATTCGTTGTTATTTGGGGATTGGGCGTTCTAAAATAGAGGACTACTGTAGTGTTTGAATTGCCCTTAATGCCCCTCTCACCAGTCCAAACATTAAGTTTCACACACAAGAAGTTTTCAAACACTACAGCTACCTACTTCATTCACTCAACTTTGTAAGATTGGAGGAGTAAAAATTAAAACAAAAGAGTTGATCAGGAATCTGAGATGATTTCAGATTGATTTATGGAGGAAAATGCTGAAAAATTTAAAGTAGTAAGCAATTACACTTGAATTGGAATAAAGTAAATTTTGTTACTATGTTCCAAGCTTCTGGGAAGCTGCGTACCAACTACATTACAAAAGACCAAGACTTGATAGACGAAAAAGTGCAAAGTTTCAAAAGTGTTGGATAGTTACATGATTGAGCGAAAAGTAGAAAAAATGTCCTGCAACAACAAAGACAAAATAAGACAGTCTTAAAGATAGTTTGCAGTCCAATTGCTGGAAAGATAATTATAGACCCAAACATTAGGCAACCGTTTTTATGATGACATTTACAAAGAATGAGTTCAGATAAAAATGGTAAGTAAATTAGGCAAAAAAACTCTTGAAATTTGATTTCTTTCATAACAGACACTGCTACTTAAAATCATATTTTGGCCAACGAATTTTGGCTGGAGGAAAAGAAATTAGTTACGGACCAGCTGTATGATAAACAAAATGTCCAGTTTCTTTTGATTAGAGTACCTGTATAGGGAAAATATCGCCATGAAGCGCATACCGCTTCTGATTGGCGGTCAGCAATAGCCCCCCTCCCAACCAATGTCGCTGCCATCAATGGGTCCTAAAGCCTCCACGAGAAAGTGGTGGGGTGAAATTGCAAATCTCTCCCTGTGAAGATACTCTAATTTTGATAGAGTTATGATGTATCCCTCAGTAAACATTAGCAAACAGAAAGTTCATACAAAAAATTTTCAAATACATTGATGAAAAGTTTTCATTTACAAGAATGAAGGGAATAATACAAATATTTCAACAAGAAAACATATTTGAGCCACTGCAGAGTTTACTTTCCTTCAGGAAAATTTCAAGATGAAGGTTGATGACTAAACAGATACATATTGTCTGGTGATAATATTAAACTACGAGGATTACAAGGAGTGTGAAATTTTCAGTTTGAAAAATGGTTCAAGGAAAACTAGGAAGCCTCAGTTAACAGTCTTGCATGATAAAAAGAAATAGAAAAAAAACAGAGAATCTACCCTTCCAATAATTGAAATGGATTTGGGAGGATTAGTTTGTCTCCAGTGGGCTCATTATTGAAATCGATACACAAAGCGATGGATAAAGCAGACAAAAAGAAGATGGAGCCATCTAATTGCAGGGTTGCAAGTTCGATCAAATTTCAAAATTCCCTGACCTATGACTCTGGAATTGCCTGTCTTCTTGCAAAAGAAAAAAAAGGAAAAAAGTGAATTCAAAAACAGTTAAGCAAACTTTAAAGCATCGTAATCGTATTTTTATGGTACGGAACTTTGCAAATAATTCTAATAAGACAATTTGCACGCTGCCTGGAAATAATGTAATTTTTTTCCTTGCCTGAATGGGCAAAAAAAGAAAAAACTGCAGAGAAAAACCAAGCTGTTGAATAGCCCTAAGAATTTCCCTGGGTGGGAGCAAAATTCCTTGACATTCCAGGTTGTTTCCAAATTCCCTGACTTTTCCAGCTTTTTCCCTGACCATTGCAACCCTATGCTGGTGAAAGCTGGTGTGGTAATTGGGTAGATATTAGACTCACTAACAGCAATTCACAAAGAGACGCTAAAATTAGTTCATCATTTTTCCCCTTACAATGGACCACTAGACAAGGTACGAATTTCAGCATTCTGATACATGTTTCTTTATCAAAATTGCACGTAGAACACGATACGCACAACGAAAATTACCAAAAGCAACTCCTGACGAAGATATTTAATGATTTTTGATGCGTGAATTCAAACCACCCGCTCATGAAAACTCAATGCTCTACGTGATTCACATCGCGCGCTAAATGTTTATCATGACAGTCTCTGCGATGTAAAAATCCTCAACTTCAATCTTGACTATTTGGCTCAGCTATAGCAAATTACTAATAGTTTGAACAACACATGGTGGAAAATGAACATTGCTCGATTGAGAAGCTTGCTGAAACCGTTGTAGTGCGCGATTTGACTCACGTAGAGCTTTGAGTTTCTTGCCAGCGGGCAGTTCAAATTCCTCGTAACCAATGTGAAATAAAAACGTTAATATCTCCTTTAGGAGTTGGTTTTAGTAATTTTCGTTGCGCGAATCGTGTTCTTCGTGAAATCCTCGTCAAGAAACATGTATTAGAATGCTTAAATTCGTACCTTGTCTAGTGGTCCATTGGTCTAAAACAAAAACCCATTATAACCAATAGGATCCTTCCATTTTCCCAATATCTTCTTCTTTTATTGCTTTGTGTGCCCATGTCAGTATTCAGCCCACAGTTCAGATATCTTACGTAAAGGCAACCACAAGAAGAGGAAACGTAACACAATAAAAACTAGGATCTCTGCATAGAAAGACATTACCCAGACACTAGGAAATATCATCCAGACAAAGCTTACAAAATAAAACAGCGAGTTTTGGCTTAAATGAGTAAATAACAGATTGAAAATAATTACAAATGCTTGATTTAAAACTCAACGATTTCAGACTTAAGCTGAGCTGAAAAACTTCTAACCCCTGGGGTAACAGCATAAGCTAGATTTTAGGCATTCCAGTTAATTGTTGGTTATTGAATTGTTAAAGTTCTGTCAACTCCTCACCGAGTGGTCATAAAATGCTACATTAGGTGCGTTGGACGTCTGATTTAATTCAGGGGTGCAAAAATTACTCTAACTCACAATCTGCAGATTACTGCAAATGTGAGACATTTGGGATGTGAAGCAAAATGATACCTTCAAAGAAGAGGTTCTCGCAAGTGAAAAATGCATCACAACTTGTATTTTGTCTTGAGGCAATAACACCTAGTATCAGAAGATCGTTGGTATTTTAAGACTTTTGCACCCCTGATAATTACTCTGTCTACTGAAAGAGTGTATTTTTAAAGTCAAATTCCTTGAAGTATAAAGGGTCGGTTGCAGACTTTTGCTAGAGCAAAAGTACGAATTGCTTTTCATTAAAAATGGCTCAAAGATGCTGATGAGCACAACGGTAAAATCTGGAATACAAGCCTAATTTCACAATCTACATAAAAAGTATGCATTTTTTGAGCTTCCTGCTTCAAAGACGATACCATGTCACAGGTGAACATTTTATTAGAGGTGTTATTCCATTCAACCCTTACGAACCAGGATGTTTTGCAATATTCAACACGGCCGACGCTTCCACGGGTAAATCAAGGTCAATCAAGGCCGAACTTCATCAACATGAGGAAAATGTGAATGTAAACACGCCGGTTGTTAACAAGTGGTTAAAATCTTGTCCCATCACGTGTTTTGGCAGATTGGCGTCAGCCATGTTTCATATTGCGTAGCATCTTAGTGCGCAGCGGTTGGATGGAACGACTCTTCTAACGAAATGTTCAACTTTGCCCCAGTATCGTTTTTTAAGCGAGAAGCTCAAGAAACCGCAAACTTACACAGATCGTGAAGTAGGAATGCATTTCAGACTTTGCTGATGGGCTAATCGTGATTTATGAGACATTTTCTATTAGAGTCGACTCTTATTTTTGTTCTAACAGAAGTAAAATACAGTCTCATTTCAGGAATTACAAAAAATTTTTTTAAAAAAACAATTTAGAGAGAAAGAATTACATAATTTTTCAAATTGTTTCAAGAAAATCACTCAACCTCCTCACGAATTGTTTGAAGTAATAAACACAAATATTATGCGTTTAATTCTACATCACACCATTTGAAAAATCTTTGACATGAGGTAAGTTCCTCATCATTTCATTTGAAGTAAAGTGTTCTGAGCAATCCAATGTCTGTTCTTCCGATTTAAAAATTAAAAATCGACTTATGCTGGCCTTATTTTCGATATTACCTTCTACTAGGGTCATGACTGATTTACGAAAAATTAAAGGGAAAATCAATTTTGGTGCCAAAGCGGAACTGAGGATAAATACCTTTGAAATTCATTGAAAGGCATTCGACATTTGACCTCAAAAACGGGAAATAAGTAAAAACCATGGGACAATGCCAATGTTTCACTGCGACTAATTCAACCTACTGTTACTATTGCGCTAATTAAGAGGAAAGTAACAGAGACCATTTCATATATAAAGCCTTCAAACAAATAATACTGCTAGGGTTAGTTACAAAATGCATTGTGTATTTGTAACTTCTAACAAGCTGGATTGGGTAGAACATCAGACCAATGGCATGGTTCTCATCATGAGTCAATTAATCTGTTGCATATCAGAACATTATGAATGGAAAATATACAGTGGTAAGCATCTTTCTTCCAGATTTTATAAGCGTCTTACAGATTCTGCAGTCAGTGGTGGATTAGTTGAACAGCCATTACTGAGTCAATGGTTGAAGATATGTCAAAATCCTTAAAAATTTTCACCAGACCATGTCTTGTCAAAATATTCAGAAATTAATTATACACAATCTTGCCCAGACTGCCATTCACCAGGCAACCTACAGGGCCATGCTGAGGAGGACCTAGCACTCAGTGAATCAGCCACTTAAGGCGTTCTCTGGTACCGCCATGCCAAAACGGATAAAATATTTGCCCTGCAACACCGTACCTGGATAATTTCTAAGGGAGATAACACAACACAGTACATTATTCATGAAATTTGGACTTGAGCCCTACTGTGGCATTTAGAGATAAGTTAAGATTCTTCCTTGTTAAAAATCCTTGGAGGTGGCATTCTACTCACTAAAAAGAAAATATGCTCAAAACCGACTGGAAGAAGATAAGCAATTGCACATTAATTTTACAGATGATTTGAGTGGTTTTGATTTCATTAGAGAGAAATCAAAATTCGAGATGGCAGATAGTTACTCCTGATCAAAAACAAAAAGAGGGGGGGGGGGCGTGGACAAAAATTGTAAATTTTATGCAACTGTACAGCACATTTGATTGGTATTCATGCTGATGATAATTATATAATTCAGTAGTCTGAGGTCAGTGTGCCCAGAAATATAATGAGGCTTGCTAATCTCTTTCTAGTTAAATTGTACCTTGAACTTGCATCACTGAAACATTCTCATGCTCACAAGTACATATGTATCTTGAAACAGGAATTTTCTTACGTTGATGACGCCTGACTCAGATGGTGCAGGTGTTCTAGTGAGTGAGGGTCATTGGCTGAAGTTCTACCCAAGGATTCACAAAAGAGATAAAAATTTGACTTCTCTCAGTAGTCAAATGTGAAAAAAATTAAACATTCTAACATATTAATTTCACAGACTAACAGTTCTCTGATTTGATCAGAGTCATTGATAACATGGATATGAATAACATTGAGACATGACAATTGAGATAAAAAAGGGTTACATAAAAAATTAATAATGAAAACAGAATATTTCATAAAATCTTAGGATAACCCCGGATCAGTGGTGCGGAAGGAGCAGGAAATTCTGACAGCAAAAACTTAATGTTGAGTTAGAGCAATGAGAACTATTTAAATCAAAAGGGTCACTTTATCAACAGCTTCAGCTGAAGAAGCTCTATGAAGAATTAAGTTACCAGTACGTTTTTGGCCATCATAGAATGGAACTTCCATCAAAAAGTATTTAAACCAGTAAAAGACCTAACGTTTTTTAACATATATTAAAACATGTGATACACATGATAACATAGATTGATATGGAGTACTTAGGCTGCATGTAATGAATTTTCCTGGAGAAATTTTTAAAAAGATAATGATTTTCAGCCGGAAAATCTCAAAGCAAAAAACCTCTGTTTCTTGATACCTAGTGGTTTCCTCTCCAAAGACACACACCACTGACCCATGCAAAAAATCTAAGACGATAGTTGGCATAACAAAGAGACGAATAGCCGCGCCCTGCGGAATATCAGAGACTACTAGCTCTTCACCACCAATACTCATAGAAGGCAACTATGGACTAAAGAGTAGTCTTACGAACCAAAAAAGTGGGACCAACGCCCTTCAGATGGTTTCTGAAGCTCCAATTCCTGACTGGAATTATTCTTAGACAGCTAAAATTACAAAAATCATTTACTCAGAAAAACTCCAGAAATTCTCAAGAAAAATATTTTTAGAATGATCATTTGCAAATCAGTCAGAAACTTGATCCGCCAGCTGAATCTAATGGGTTGATATGAATTAATGCCCTCTTTCTTAACACAAGATTTCTGAATCAAGTATTTGCAAGTATTCAACAGTTTTCAAATGGATGATACCTCAAATAATATCAAACTCAGGAACTTAATTTCAAAACGAACATACTGTACATTTATCTGTTAATGAAACGATCAAGGCATGATTCATGATCATTCATGCCGGATCAATTGAAATTGAAATTGAAATGTTCTCAGGGCAGAGTAAGAGTAGATTCAAGAAATCCGACGAGAGATACAGTGCGAGCTTGCTAATTTGAAAAGCTCTTTAATGTGAAGGAAAAGTAGTGCCTATGGGCGAATCTATACCAACATTTTTAAAAAAAAAAAACAAAAAAAACATATATTTGTCTCCACTCGTTAGTTTAAATGTTTAAAATTCTTTAGACCTCGATTAGCGAATGAGTCAGTTGTGAACTTTGAAATGGCAACACCCTTACGTTCTGTGATGGGCCACTTGACAAGGTATGAGTTAAAGCACTATGTAACATATTTCCTCTTTAAAATTTCATGAGGAAAACAAATCGCACTGCAGGAAGTCTGAAAATCAACTTCTAAACAAGATATTAGTGTTTGCAATTAATATTGATAAAATGACAAAAATACAAATGACGTCATTCGTATAATCTAACTTCCATTTGAACCATGATAAGAATACATATTAATATCTTGTTTAGTTCCCTCTTCATTTCTACGTAAGATTTTGAGAATCAGCACGCGACATTTTTCTCTACTTCAGACCTTGTCTAGTTGCCTTTTCAAAACCTGGATCAAACGCCTTTTATTTCAAACTAGTAGAACAGGACTCTGCCACTCAGAAGTACTCAGTGGCTTTTCTCCCCTTCACTGCATTGAAACGGGCATAGCAAATTCATGAAAATAGATAGTAGCTTTCAAATGGAGTACACTGCACAATAAGGAACTACTATTTCTGGCTTAACCTTAAAATCACCTGTCTGCATAGAGAAACTAGTAGGCCATACATTGTTTCTAAAATGAGAACTTGTGGTTCCTTATTGAAAATGTACTGAAAAATACAGGGCGAAAATTAGCTCTACTTCTAATTATTGAGCTTATTTAAAAATCTTTTCATGTCAAAGTATCTTCAAGACCCTTCTCTGCGGTTTGAACTCTTACTAATTCAAAAACCCTTCATTCCACAAGAAAAATCTGCAGTCCCTTCAGTTCCAAATTAGCGATCATGCACTCGAATTGGTGTATTTGTAAAGGGAGAAATGGAGGTAGTTGAGGAAAAGGCAGAATACCCCCTCATTTGAAATTATTTTTCATTGGTAATTTCCAGAGTATTATCATGCGGAGTGGGCGCGGCTTTCATGGCTCAGTTTGATTGCATTTCAGTCAAGTATCACAATAACAGCTACTGCTCACCCAACGATGAAGATGAAGACCCGAGCCGGCGGTTCCACGAATGTTATACAACCGTGCCATTTTTGTTAACTCCTATTGATGAACAACTTGGCCCTGATCCAAGATGATTTGAACTAGTCTGGAAAAACGAACCAACTTTGTGAAATGCTGGACACAGCCATAAGTATCAGAGAGACAAATTCTTTCTTCACAATGGGTCAGTTGTACTGTTTACAGAATCGTGTTTTAATGTATAATCCTTGTAGATTAGATAAAAATAATAAGATCTGTCCAAACAACAACTTTCTACGTTCGATAATAACCGAGATATCACGCTTCGAAAAGATCGGTTTATGACATCATCTACCGCGATAATGATGCCCTTGGTTTCTTCCACCTTGTTTTCATTAGTCTGTGTGACGCACATTTGTACTGGTTACTCTACGTGAAACTTAGATGACAGCAAGGAGGAAGAAACCAAGTGTGTTACTACCGCGATGGATGACGTCAAAAACCTGACTTTTCAAAGGACGATATCTCAGTTAATATTGAGTGTAGAAAGTTTCTCTTTGGACGGATCTCATTATTTTTAGCTGAGCTACAAAAATCAAGCGTCAAAACACGATTCAGTGACCAGCGCACCTGACCCACTAACCAAATACTAATAGGAGATAAACATAATAGAGTTTATACCCCATGACAATCATGTTGAGCATAACAATAATGTCAAAAATAGACACCAAAATGGACAGTTTGCATTGTGTGTACTGTGCACTTTTAAACATACCATATCTGTGGATACATTCTCCTTAGTTACCAGTTATGAGAATTTCCTAGAGAGAGATGTAGAAAAGCCTAACTGAAATAAACAAACAATCATGCAAACTGTTTTCAATCTTTTCGACTCATGATTTTGATCATTTTAGAGACCTTCTTTTCTTCGGGTTGAAATCATAAATGAGGAAGACTTCAGACGGTTAGTAGAATTATTTGTGCATTCAGGTTAGGTTTGTTGACAGCCCCTGAGTGACTGACTGAAAAAAAATACTTGCGAGCAAAAGAAATTCAAAAATAAGAGAAACGGACTACAGTTTCAAGAGTAATTTTGACACTTATTATGTGCTCAATGTGATTTTTGTGTGCTATCATAAGTAAATAATCTACTCGATTAGTGGTATTCCTTGTACCCAACAGACCGACGTAGATCTTCACGAGAGATTTATAGGTAGCTTCAACCAATATTTTTTGGACTTTTATAGGTGCAAAAGTAAAGCTGCTATTCTCTCTAAGGGAGAGAAGGGTCCTGGTTAAATCCACTAGATTTTTTATACATTGCAGATTTTGACCGACTGATTAAAAGTGTCAATGAGTTTCCCCCTGTTTCGCTCTTTTGCCTCCTTCTTGGAAGGATCAAAGATCATTTAGCATAATCGGAAATTTTGAAAAGAATTTGCTCTCTCAGGACACTCAAAGTTTTGATGAGCAACTTTAATTGCTTGAATGGTGTATAAAACATCTGGTTCCAACAGCTGAGCCACGCTGTCTTGAGTGGAGGTGGTGAAAGTACAAATCCTTGTCAGCAAGACAGGTCCGAGCGAGTTGCATTAAAACAATCCTCTTATCATATTCTCAAGAATGGACCACTAGACAAGGAACGAATTTAAACAATCTAATTCATGTTTCTTGACAAGAATTTCACGTAGAACATGATTCGCGCAACGAATATTACTGAAACCAACTCCTAACGAAGATATTAACGTTTTTATTTCACATTGGTTACTAGGAATTCGAACTGCCCACTCACAAGAAACTCAAAGCTCTACGTGAGTCAAATTGCGCACTACAACGGTTTTAGCAAGCCTCTCAATCGAGCAATATACATTTCCCACCATCTGTTGTGCAAACTACAAGCAATTTGCTATAGCTGAGCCAAAGTGTCAAGATTGAGGTTGCCAGATTCTTATATTGCAGAGACTGCCATGATAACGTTTAGCGCTCCATGTGAATCACGTAGAGCATTGAATTTTCATGAGTGGGTGGTTTGAATTCACACATCAAGAATCATTAAATAGTTTTGTAAGGCGTTGATTTTCGTAATTTTCGTTGTGCGCATCGTGTTCTACATGAAATTTTGGTTGAGAAACATGTATTAAAATGCTGAAATTCGTACCTTGTCTAGTGGTCCATTATTGGCAGCATGCATCTTGAAGGTTTGACCACATTGCAACATAGAATTTGACAACTCCCCCTCCTTTGCAACTGATCCCTTCACTAGAATGAGTGAAAGATGGGGATCAAATTTATTTTTAAAATAATCCATGATGTTGTGATGCAGCACAACTCGTTCATGTAGATCTAATTGATAACGATAATTGGATGTATTTATGCTAAAAGGAACTATGTGAAAGTGGAAAGATGGGGTGTGCTCGTGGAAGCTACATAAGAAAGAGTGTTGTCAGTGGATATAGTTCCTTTTGAGAAAATGGAGAAGTGGGATTTGACATCAAATTAAAAGGAACTGAGCACTAACTTGTGAGCCGTGGGCATGTGACAAGAGCGTTGTGGACAGGGCTCATGAGTTACAGACTGACGACCTAGTCGTTGTTGCTCTTGTCGCGCCTGGTCCTCACCGCCGACGTCATTCGCGCTTTTAAAGTCCCATTCATTCTTATGTCCCGAGCACTAATGAGCAGACCCCATCATTCCATTTTCACATAGTTCCATTTCGCATAAATACGTCCAAATGTATGAGACACCACCTACAACACAGCTTTTCCCTTCACCTGGGACTGTGATGTTGTTTCATTTATACAAACGACTGTGATGAGTTCGATCCTCCTTCTCTTGCCATTATTCTAATACTACCATGCTAAGGAAAAACTCTGTATGAACATTCGAGAGTTGCAAAATTTTCCTTGATAAAACGTATATTTTTGACAACACTCATGCATATTTTTCCTTGAAATTTTCAAATATTTTTGATTAAACTGCGAACAAAATGGTCTGAAAATTTTGGAAAACAATTTTAACGATTTTCCCAATAAATTCGGTTTTTATCGAAGGAAACTTAGCAACGCCAAATGGTTCATACGGCGTTTTTCCTTAGCTCAGCAGAATAGAAGAATAAGCTGGAACTGATGAAAATAGAGAACATGGAGAGTTTAAAGATTTATATCTACCTTGGATAACAGTGTGTCTGATTTTTGAAGTGATACAATGTATTATCCCCTCAGAAAATAAATTTACCTAGATCAGAGTATAGAATTCTGTCAGGGATTGGGCAAAGGAGGTTTTTCATGGTGCCCCCCCCCCCNCGCCAGTATCAAGCGCAATGAGTCTTCTTTTCACCATAAATGGTAAAATGAACTGAGGAAGATTGTACTTTCTTATAAAGTATAGGATTAGTTTTAAAAAAAAAATTAGTTCAAGAGTTTTAATACATAACAGAAGACTGAAAATGCAACCAAATTGGTTCAGTCAATTGAAAATCAGGTCTTACCTCCATATTAAACTCTATTAAAACTGGTGCGCATTAGAGTTCAAAAAATTTAATTTTGACTCTAATTTTAATTTTTGGAACTTCTTGGCTTTGTTTTCTCCGTGAAATGGTATGGACCCAGCACCATTTCTCCACCTTGTTAAAACTCTACTTTGACAGTTCTATTTTAAGATTTACTTGTCAATGTGAGTTTAAGATTAAATACATGCAGTTCTGAACAGCTAATTCCTGAATTCTTAAGACAGGCCTTTGATAAAAGGACACAAAAACACTTGCAGATGCACAATGACGGTTGAACTCAGAGAGCGTATCGATAGTGAAACTGCATACCTCAGTTTGCCATGTTGCAGACTTCCCGTCATCTTTACTCTTAAAATGAAAAACCGCTAAACGTTATTAATTGAAAACTTCAGTGATACCTATTTTACTCTGTGAGAAAATTTTGCTGTGAAAATTTTATGCCGTTAAGTTGGTTTGGTTTCCTTTTCAAAAATAAAATGGGAGCAGAACCTATGAAACATCATAACCGAGATATAAGCGTTTTTTCAGTTTCATAGCTGGTATACCATACACACACCCCTTCATCTGTGACATGGCAAAGTTCAAGACAAGGATACTCAATTTTTTACGTGAAAATTTAAAATTTTTGAACTATGACCCAAAACTCCTCTTTTATCTCCATACCTTGAGATCCATCTCCATGGATGGTGAAGGCAACCCATTTCCTGCTCTCTTTCCAAATTTTTTTTTTTCTCAGCTGTTCTGGAAAGGCATGAAAAAACATCCTTATGAATGTTTTCATTCTCAACTGAAGTGTCAATATTAAAGAAGGATGATAAGGAAAAAAGACCAAAGTAACATTTCTACTTACAGGTTTTTCAGGTCTTGCCCATGTGTAAACATAGCCATCCTGACAAGCCGTTACAAAAGAGTCTTCTTTGAACACCAGTGCTGTCAGACGTTCGTGAGCAATCTTTTTGCAGATCAGTGGCTCCAAAACAGGACACTGGTCATAACGAGGGCACATGTCTGTTCCGATTAACTTCATCGGGTCATCACAGGTAGAGTGGTTCACGACACAATTCACTTTATCCGAACCTGAGCCTTTGGATGTAAAACTAAAGTTCCGTTTATGAGACCTCTCACTACTTTCTTTTTTCTCGACCACTTTTTTCTTGTCCCCAAACGCAGCAAGCCTCTGTGTAAACGACATGGGGGAGTGGTGTGAATTCACGACACTACCATCGAACAAGTTATCTAGGAAATGAGCTTGAGAATTATTAAACTTAGCTGAACCATTGCCTGGCTGAACACTACTACAAGTCCGTGGCCGTCCACTACCGGAGGGTTGCCTTAAAACATCGTCTGTTATGTCCCACAAACAGACTTGCGTGTCCTGCCCAACTGAGCCAAGCCTGTAACACACTCCCGACGTACACTCTGGTTCACCGTTTGACTGACCAACTAACGTTGTGAAAGGGTCAAACGCGACTACACTGACCCAACTACGGTGACCCTGACCCCGCGCGACAACTCTTCGCTCATGAAGGCTCCAAACTGTCACAAGGTCGTCCTCACCGCCAACAACGACATATTTCGAGTCTGGGGACCAACACACACATAAAAATCCACCGAAATAACTACGTGCATAACCGACTAATTCCATTGTGTCGTAATGAAAGACTCGCAAAAAACCGTCTTGTGATACAATTGCTAAATACGAACTACATGGTGAGAAAGCGAACTCATTAATACTGCAGCCTTCGGCACCAATGACCCATCGATAGAGTGGGTTTCGCGTGCTTTTGGTTTTACAGGTGTGGATGGTGTAGCCTGCGCCCTGTTTGAATGGTTGATAATGAGGCGGCGTTGTGCTGCATGGAAGTTCTTCATTGTAAAGGTACAATTGACCACTTGCATGACTAACCAGGAAGAGATTTGGAGACTTAGGAACCCAACGAATGCACGTTACTTTTGTTTTATCCACTAATCGCTGTAACAGGGGAAAAAGAAATCATTAGATCTAGATAGGAGTGAAATGAGAGATCCTTAACCAAGGAAAAGACATAAAGACGCTGTTAGTGATAAAAGTATACTGGTTGCTGGGTGGTCTTTCTTCAATAATCTGCAGTCTATTTTCTTTTCTGCAATATAGATGATTGCTGTTATTCCTTACTTGGTGGTTAGAGAGAACAAACTATAATATTTTAAAGTGCTTCCTTTGTTTTTTGCCTATATTTTTCTGTACTTTAGCAACTTATGAAAAGTTGTTCAAATTATCTTAGCCCTTGGGTAACATTGACACACATATGGTGGCTCTTAATAGTTGGGCAATTTTGGTCACACTTCACTAAGACAACAAAAATGGATGATTCTGGCAGCACACATCCGATTGTTTCTCCTAAAGGGTTTTGCCATCTCTTTCATAAATTTCAGGGGTACTCAACTACATTTTGTCGATTCATTAAAGATCAAGTACTTCCAAATACCTGAATTGACCATATTTCATTTTGAATGATTGTCAAAGGAAAGGCACTTGTAAAAAAACTTGTTGCTTTTCTATTGCTGAACTCTCTACAACCCTTAAACATTAATTTTTTTAAATTGTTTTCGGCAAAAAGTACTCTCATGCTATGTAGGCGTTGCTTTACTTGAATCGAATCAAACAAACGTTCAATTGGTTCTAGCACTACGATAATTGCATTGCATCATAGCATTGGATTGATTCAGCATCCAACTGTTCGTTTTGAATTCCCACACTAATTACTTCGACAGGTGAGCTAAATAATCCTCTAAAATTACCTCAACGGTTATAAAGTGAATTCTTTAGCTACTCTTGCACTTAAAACCAATGTTGGTTTCCACTGATGGTAAAAACACTGTATGAACACTGTAAAAATTTCCAAACTGAAGTGATACTAGATGCATCAAACATTATACCACGAGCTGATTCAATGATGCACATGAGATGTGAAATATTTTTTCATTTTAAAACTTTTGATATAAGAATACATTCAATGCTCTAAACTACAAAATAATCCATTTGAATGCTGGTTATTAGAGTGAAGAGTAACTGAGCACAAACCAAAAGATTGAACATTTTAATACCTACATGAATACAAAAAAAAAAAATCACTTTTCAAGGCTACATGAGCTATAGGGGAGGGATTACATTCAGAAAATATTTGATGTTTCGGAGGAATGCCAATTGATGGCTACTAATGGGGCAAACATTTTCACTTTCTGAACTGGTAGCTCCATTCACATTAGAGTAAGTGAAAAAGAGAGAGACAATAAATGATGAGAGAATTGGGGATGAAGTAGGCTGTGATCATTCATCACTTCTATTCTTCAATTGAATCGTCCTAAATTATGTACTTCCTCTTTGGAGGAGCAGTGCAATAAATTGGGAGGGAGACAAAAGCTACATTAAACATAGTCAACACTCTCTCAATAGTCTCTGAATTTGGACCTCTCTTGTCAAGTTCCAGCCTTTTTTATTGGTTCTTTAACATCAGGGTGGCTACTAAAACAGGCTGGCCAAAAATCAGTGCTCATACAGTACTTTTTCAGTCCATTCCCAATTATTTCAGTATCTCTTTAACAGACAAATTCAGTACTTTTTCAGTACCTCAATTTGACGAAATTTAGAAATTTTCAAAAATTTGAATTTCTAGCTCAAATTACGACAAAAATGACACAAAAATGAAAAAAATTCCGGACCGTCTTGAGGAATTTCAGCACTTTTTCAGTACTACCGGACCACCCTTCAAAAATCAATACTGTTTCCGGACTTCCGGAAACTTCCGTCCTCGTAGACACCCTGAACACGAAAATTTTTCCTAATCATATTTTGCACATTAATAAGTGGCACAAAAATGTGATGTTCCACGGGTAAAGGACCTATGGCTCTGGAGACATTGCTTCTTTCAGGAGCAGATTCTCTCCGATTGGATTAATGATTCCTACCTGAGGTTTTTCTTCTCCTTTTTTTTCGCCAATTTTCAAAGAGCCTATTGGCTAATCCTATGCTAACTTAAGGTAATGACCTACGAACGTGAGTTATTCATGGAGAACTCTCTATTTTGCATAAGTAGTGTTAATACAGAGCGTGGAGATACATTTTAATCCAAGAAAGTTAGACTCGAAATCTGGTAAAATAAAACTTCTAAGTTGTACTTATTGCAATGACAGTCTTATAACTTGAAGTGGTAAAACATTGAAACCTTAGCTTGAATGTTTATTTGGAGAAAATTAGGAAAACAAGCTTTGATTGTTATTTGAAGATACATCAGATGCTATTGTTTGCTGGGGTGCTCATTCGATTGATTACCAGAGGCAAAAAGCACCTTTAATGCCCACCGGTTAAGAAATATTCTCTGATTTCATTCAAATTTCATCAATACATACATTGCATAAGTGTCTCAGTCAAGTGATGAATAAATTTTTGGACGGCATGTAAAAGCTCGATTGACCAGATTTCCCCAACCTTCCAGCTGTTTTGGGTTGAACTCTGCCTTTGTCAATTTTTCTGCACAGACGCAATCTTGTTAGACTCAAATGCTTCAGATTCTAGATGCGCCTTTGCGCCCAGAGGTTGTCAATGTTTCAGTTTATCTCAGTGGGTGCAGAGAAAAAAAATTAAAATCTCTGGGGCACTCATCATGAATAACACAAAGTTAATAAAAGGATTACACGTATGTAAGCTGTAGAAAATAATTGGGTGACGCACCTCTTCATTATAGACTTTGCTTAACTCCTTCTTTATGGGGTCAATGAGCTGCACTTGTCCAGTGGAAAAACCTACAAGTAAAGCTGCTGTCTCACTAGTTGCTGTTGTTAAGTTGAAATCATGGCACGTTGGATTTGTTCCTTTATACATTTTCTTGTCCACAGGTTTCGTTAAGTCAGCAGCCTGAAAAAAAAATGAAGAAATTGCAGACTGATTACCTCCACAGTGGAAGTGTGAGACGACACACCTGCATGACAAAGAACGGATGATGACATCTGTTTGTGGTAGGGCTAAGTGGAGGCAGATATAGATGGGGGCGACAGATACTGAAATTCTCCAAGTATTTGTCAAGGTACACAGGACCTTGCATGGAAAACCAAGGAATTCGGCGCAGGAAAACAGAATTTAAGATTCAAGATGATGTTTTCAATTTTCAATTGACATTCTCTAATCGTAAGTCGCCCGACTTATTCCACAAGAGATTAGTGTACTTTTGTACTTCAAAATTGACATTCTCATCTGTCATTCTTCTTAATTTTTAATCATTTGTAAATCATTACTCGCGAAAATACTGAGAAATTCAGCAGTGGCTAAATTTCCTTTTAATTTATTATGGTATTCTTTGAGTGCTCCCGAGCATGGAAGCTATCAAGATGAAACTTTTTAGGTGCCACAGCTGAGAAAATCAGGATGATAGGAGAATTCAGTCTTCTTGGGAAATGTGGACTATTCTGCCAGGCTAAGGAAAAACGCCGTATGAACATTCGAGAGTTGCCAAATTTCCCTCTACAAAATGTTCATTTTCAAGGAAAGTTAATAATATTTTCCCTTGAATATTTCAGGACTTTTCGGTGGAATTGCGAGCAAACTTTAGCTGAAAAAAACTCACGAGTTCACCAGGAAATGCGAGTTTTGTCACAGGAAAGGCAACGCTTGAAGGCTCATACAGCATTATTCCTTAGCACGGCAGTATTGCAATATGTATCGACAGTGAAACTACCAAACCACGTATCTCCGTTTGCGACGTCGCAGACTTCCTGTCATACTTTATTTTTTAAATGAAAAGCTACTTAACGTCCAGTCTTGAAAATTTCCGTGATTTTTCCTCTTCGTGCGGAGAAAATTCTGTGAAAATTTCAAGGAATGATATTGATTTGGTCTACTTCAAAAAAATAAAATGTGAGCGGAGATTTTTAAACACCGCAAACGAGATACGTGGTTTGGTAGTTTCACCGTCGGTATGTGGACTCTGCACAGAGGGATTTGGTCCCCATGGTCTGTCTCATCTTGTCAGCTAGCGAGAAAACAGCCACTCTTGTCTGTCACCGATCAAATGTTGCAACAATTCTATAAGATACCTAAAGCGTGTAAAACTGCCAAAAAATTCACTCTTCGACCTTACTTTTCTTGCTGTGAGCTCATAAGTTCAATTGTTAATGCTTCCAGTGTCTTGGAGGTTGTTATGACATCAAACCAAATGATAAAACAATTTTGACGCCACCAAATTCTTTCATTTTCCTTGCAGCGTCCTTAGATTTGCTATCACCTCCTGTTCTTGTGCAATAAATATGTAATTGCAATCTTCCAATTCAACAGCAAGGTACTACTTCACTGATTGAAAACTACTGCTTCATCTATAGAACTGGGGAACGAAAAGAAGAGACATACCTACTTCACATTAACCTGAATGCGTCAATCATTAGTTGGCTCATTAGTTACCATGTAAATTTACATAGAATGGTGCTGATCTTTGATGTGACATTTGTCTCTTCTTTTCTTTCCCCAGTTTTAGCTGTCTAAATTTCCATGCAATGAGCTGCAATCAAACCTAAGTACTGCTGGACATTCAGAACATTCCTTCGTCCTGTCCACGTCTGTTAAAACTAGCAGGAACTGAGCTATGTACTCTTGATAATCAAACACTGGCCGGAGGGTCTGAACGTACCCTTGATGGGGTGAGGGGAGGCTTGATTGTAAGGACCCTTCTGGTTATGAGTAATGCGTTTAGAGCTTACATGAGATACGGAAGCATTCGACGCATGAGGGTGAGGCGTAATGAAATGTCAGAATAGATGGCCTGTGTGTGTCGACAAACCCTCATCACACCCCTTGTCAACGCACAGTCAGTTGATATCATAATGCTTGATTCCCAACACAAAGTTGGCTGGTATTGCGAGGAGTAGCTGTTGGCGAAGCACACTTCAATCAGAAACAGGGGAAAGTTTGAAACTGACAGGAGTGGTGCGGAGACAGGTGAGACTGAATGAGGAGAGCTTGGAGGGAAGTTACGCAGCAAAAATTTGAAGGATGAGTGTTGAAGGACGTACCTTTTTGCTTCCTTTATATACAAATATGTAGAGTTCTCTGCCGATGTTGAAACATATCCTCTCTTCGGTGCCAGCGGCAGAGTCGGGCAGAGACACGAACGAGAGACGAACAGGCGAGTTTCCCTGGACGCTGGAGTACGGCGGGCGGTTCGGCCGGGAATATTCCGACAAGGGCATCAACTTGTACGTCCCTTCGCGGGTCACAAAATGAGTTTTCACCTCATCTTTTCCTCCACTGTCCACATTTATCGCCATTTCACACGATTTATCACCATACTCAAAACACAGAAATCGCCATTTTCATTTATAAACGTGCGCCGTGTTGCCAAGAATAATTGTAAATACAAGGAATTTTAGAAAATGAACCGTGCACCGACTGGTTCATTTTTTTCATTCCGAAAAAAAGGAACGAATAGAAACAATCGAACCGGAAACGGACCTTGCCGGAAAACTGTCGCCCAACACAAAACTGTGGGAATTTCGAAGGGTGAAGTTATTTTATACAGGCGCGAAATATTTTTAGGGTAGCGGTTGGATCTAAAAGGGACGACTTACTGTGGCATTACCTCTTATATTTCTTACTTATTACTCAATATTGTTTTTCAATGTCCAAAAACAATAAATCAAGTGCATGAGCAAAAAAACAAAACACACTTCTGAGCACGCTTTGAGGAAGCATTTAGGGCTGCAAGTGCCATGTCCAGTGGCGTAACGGGCGCCCCCTGCATAGCAGGGTCTGCGGGGCCAAGGGGGCCCTCGGCCGCCGGAATTTTTTTTCTCTCTCTATCTTTGATGCTTAACTTAGGTTTCAAACTTTGGGCATTTACTGACTGAAATGGGGCTTCTTCCTCCGATTTTTATTGTTAGCTCGGGGTTTTTCATACTTCTTTCGGACTGTTCCGAACTTTTTAGTTGCTGGAGGGCCCCTGTCTTCCAATGTCCACTCAGTGATTACTAAATTGTTTTTCTTTTTTTGTCACTTTTCGTATTTCGGGCTTTGGGAGATCCAATAATCCTTGGGCCTGGGCTGGGCCCCCGCCACCCTTAAGATCCTTGATCCTTTAGGGGTCCCATATAATCGGGTACGGGATCTGGGACGGTGAGGGGTGAGGCAGTCCAAGTCCGTGATTTGGGATGCCTCGGGCCAAAAAATGGGAAGGGGTGGGAGGGGGGGATAATTTTGGAATTTTATCGACATGGGGGGGGAGGCCTAGAAAAAATTTGGCGGGGGGGCCCAGCGGAAGTCCGTTACGCCACTGGCCATGTCACCAGTACTTGCCACTCTGTTTTCAATCACGCTCCGTTTACCTAGTGCGAAGAGTGAAGTGGATTGTGATATCAACTCCAAATAAAGCAATGTTTGCTTTAAAAATAGGTTTAAGTCCAGTTGCATCACCGTAGTATATTATTAATGTACCTAATCATGACATGCTTGAGCGGAAACTTGCAACGGGAGTACGGGACCTTACATTAACGACGGCTTTTGGCATACGTCACTTGACTCATGAGCAGCTGGCAACTTAATTACTGAATAAATCAATACGTATAAAGTTAAAAAAAAAAAAAAAAAAAAAAAAAAAAAAAAAAAAAAAAAAACCCATTCATCTCGATACATGGACGCGGAAATAGGAGGCCGCCCCCGCCTCCCTCAGAAATACTATCAGCCTCTCCCAAGAAATGTGAGGAATTTTACGAGGTATATAGGTAAGCGCGTGGTATATCATCTACCTTTTGATGATAGTTGTTGTTTGTTTTTTTCTATATTTTTTTTTGTGGGCTATGCAACTATTTGTGCGTCCACCCGCGGGCTTTAACGGCGCAGAGCTGAATTAAACCTAAACCCAAACTTCCGATTTTCTCCTCCTTTTCCGGTGTTTACCTTCCATTTAAGCTTTGCTCTCCAATATCCGGTTTTCCCTTACACTTACGGTTTTCACTCTTCAATTCCAATTTTCACCGTCCACTTCAGGTTCTCACTCCTTATTCCTGGCTCTCACTTCTTATCTCTGGTTTCCACTTTCTATTTCCGGTTTTTATTTCTTATTACCTGTTTTAACTTCCTTCTTCCGGTTTTCTTTTCCCACTTCTTGATTTCCTCTCCGATTTCCGGTTTTCCTTTCCTCTGCTGCTTTTCACCTGCCACCTCCGGTTTTCCTTCCTCATTTCCGGTTTACACTTATCACTTCCGGTTTTCTCCCTAGTTCTATTTTCCACTTCCGGTTTACTTCCAGTTTTCACTTCCCACTCTCGTGCCGCAATCACACGCTGAATTTGGCAGCTGAATGTGGCAGTCGCAACAGTCAGCGCTTAATAGCTGAAATTTCACTAATTCGAGTTATTTTCATCCAAATGTGTATCAAATCCATTCGAGTAGTTCAGACAAATCCGACATTATCCAATGGTTGCTGAGAAGCGTACTGCTGAATTTTGCGCGTCACGCGCAAAATTCAGACATCGGGCCGATGACTTCCACATTCAGCTCCCACATTCAGCGTGTGTTTGCGGTATCACTCCCGATTTTCCCCATCCACTTCAAATTTTCACTTCTTACTTATTCCCGGTTTTTAATTTTACTTCTTATTTCCAACTTCACTTCCATTTTCCAGTTTTTACTTCCCTCTTCCAGTTTTAACTTCAACTTCAGGTTTTCACTTCCTATTTCCGGTTTACTCATAGTTTTTGAGATAATAGGGACTAATACTGCCGTGCAACGCAAGAACGCCGTAACTCATCCACCTCCACGCGAACCAAGAAAATGGCTCTTAAAGTTTTCATCCTTTCGCTTCATCCCTTTTGACATTTTGGAAGTTTTTTCCTATCATTTTGCTTCTCAACACTTGTGAGTCTAACTGAATAAAAAAATCGTTCTTAAGGCGACTATTGCTCTTAATAATCCCTGGTAGCAGAACCATAGAAGGAAAAGATAAAGATTATGTATACGAAAGTTAATTTTTTTTATATAACGCATGCGTACGAAAGTGTTAAAAGTGAACATTTTTAAGTAACCGTTATATGAAAAAAGTCATAATTTTCGTAAGCTTTTCGCAAACATACTAAAAAATCTTCTAAATCGCGAAAAGCTCGCCACTATGAGAATGCACTGGACGATGTGAGCGCCTTCATATTTTCGCGTATGCATCACAGACAACGCCTGAGCGGTAGTTGTTACCTTAAGACGGTGCTTTTTCCCACTTGGGCATTTCCTCTCTATAATGGCGCTCGAGGTATAAGCACTGAAAAAAGCGATTTGTTGCTCTCTGCCCCTGGAAGTGAAAAACTTTGAACCTTTTCTTCAATTATTCATTTGTGAATCAATTTGAAGCGGCGATTTATTCGAAAATGATTATTTTCAGTTTTAGTAGGAGAAAAAAAATCACAGGAATTTTCATTTCGCATAGAGGGCCGTCCATAAACACATGTCGCAGACAAATAGTCAAATCAGGCATTTTGTTAAATGCCTAGGCAAATTGTTAAATATTCTTATTTAGACTGAAATTCTGATTGTTTTGCTGATGCAGACGAGATAATTCTCTGATCATGTGGAAAACAATTCCCTGTGACAACTTGTTCGATACAATCATAAATGAGCATTTTCTAGTCCTTTAATGCGAATTTATCTCAAAATATGCAGCACTTTGTAAAATAAAAAGTTTTCACAATTTGGACGGATGGAGAATTATGAGGAGCATTTTTGAATGGAAAATAAAATGACAGTTTGTACTTTAACGGATTTTTTGTCTCAAAATATTGAAAATTAGAGAGATCTTTGCGAAAACGTAAAAAACCTCGTAAACACTGAAAATTTAAGAATCTGCCTAGGAATTTGATAAAATGCCTGATTTGACTATTTGCTTCCGACACATATAAGGCAATTTTTACGAATTTCTAACCCTTGTCTCCCAAGTCAGATCCCTCCTCACGCTCTTCAAGGGAAGAACTAGGCCCCTTAGAAATCTACTTGGCCCTTCCCAATAAATGTGAGGGATTTTTACTGAGTAAGTGATTGACATATCTTGCATCTAGTAAATTTTAATCAGATCGATTTTTCGCCGAGAACAGTTTAAAATTGCTCCTGAGACGACTTGCTTTTTCAAAATTTTCCGAGCCCCCCTTCAGAGCTAGGAAAATTCCCCATACCCTTTTTTGAAGCTAGTGGAGTCTCACAGACGCATGTAGACTTCCCTCTCTGTAGTATGTTTTGGCGTTCCCCTCCCCCTCGATCTCCTTTGACGAGGTGCTTCTCTANGAAAAGTTCCTAGTTCCGCCCATTACCTCTTTTTAGTTTATCTTCAGCGGGAGTTCACAAACATCGAAATTATAAAGAAAATCTCACCTAAATATTTGCCAAAAAATGCACTCATTACTCTAATCTTGTCTGTAAAACCCATAGAGAACATAGAGTCGTAATGCAAGTGGGAGAGCTGGCGCCACTTTTAAGCATTTTCCAGGTCCCGAATTCCGAGATTCCTGTGCGGCGCCGGGTTCCTTTTTCGATACATAATCGATTGATTGCGATACACCGAATACACGGGGACCCGGCCATATTCCACACCGCCATTTTGGATCGAATATGTATCGAAAAAGTGACCCCGCACACCGGGCTCGGAACTCTTCGAGCAGAACATGGCGCCAGCTCTCCCACTTACCTACATTACGACTCTATGTAAGGTAAAACCTGGGTATATGAATGAAAACTGAAAAAAAAACATGGAACGCAAAAATTATGACCGTTTGATTTTCACATCGAATGCATTACCTCGAGTTTGTACTCACTTTCGGATTTATTTTCGGGTTTTCAGAATGGAGTCGTTATTACAAAGAAGAATTACACAAAAAGTTGAACACTTTTCAAGACCGGTTGAATTTTCCCCAGATGTGGAGAATGAACACAGTTGCTATGAACAGAAGAGACGTGACGAGAACAGGAACAGGACCGACTTTCACACCGGGAGAATCATCGGTATAGTACCTCCATAGGCCACCCTCGCCTGTGTCTCTGCTCCTGAAACCGGGTGTCGGGGTGGATGTAGATGTCCTCTGTCTGCCAGCGCCTCCCCCTCTTGATTTCGGCGTGGACCTCGCTGAAGCGGAACTCCGCGAAGACGGCATTGGAAGAAGGAATGAAATGAAATCGGATTTTAATGTAAAAATGTTTAAGCGACGTTCCTGAGATAATATGCGGCGGAGGACTGACTGCACACGGCTCTGGTTTCAATTGTCTCGCTCCTCAAAATGACTTATCAGGGAATACAGATGATGGCTCTGATAAACACGAATATGACACTATGAGAGTAAGTAAAGGCCCTATTGAGTAAGCACAAGATGCATGCTTGGGGGCCGCCGTCCATAAATTGCGTCACCTGTTTTTTTTTTTCAATTTTTCGACCCCCCGCCCCCGGTTAAAAATTACGTCATCCTAGCGCATACCCGCCCCCCGCCCCCATTTGGGGGAAAACGCGGAAAATCGATAAGAATCGGTTGATATGATCTGCAGCGTTAAGAACATAATTAATTTATTTTATTGAGTATTAAATATACGTTGCGTTCTTTGTCCCTTTTGGGTGGAAAACGCAGAAAATCGATAAAAATCAAGCAAGATTTTCAGCCTTTTCGTCTTCAGGAAAGCTTACGTCATCCTTTGCTTGATCTCCCCTCACTCCCTGTCACCCACCGTCGTCATCCACCGCTAGACCTCCGGGCCCTCGCCCCACTTGGATGACCTGAAAAATCGGGGTTTCCGAGATACGTGGTATCGTAGTTCCACCATCGAATTGTAGCTCCGAGTAGCAAAATGTTGTCCAAACGAATACGCCATTACACCACTGAGCAACGAGGAAGCCAAGGGGTAAAAGTTTTACCAAAATATTTTAATGAAGAGAAGACAATTAGTTGGGTTTTATGTGAAGTTTAATCATTTGAAATGACAATAATTCCAACAAACTGTGAAAAAGCTTCAAATCATAAGTTTAAAACCGCCGACGGCACAAGTTTGAATAATCGCGTCAAACACAGGGCGGCTGGTGCGCATGGCGCGGCGCAAACGCTTGTTAGCGCCTTACAAGTCTGCAGGATACTTCATGCATTGCGCGTATACCACGGTGCGCGCTAACAAGTACATATCGCGAGCTCGCAATCCCAGTGTGCCGATGCATATCTCCAAAAACTAGGGTTTCGGCGTTAGCCACGCCAGATCCTGAGAACTCGGACCAATTGCAGCAAAGTAAAGTATAAAATTACCCGCGAATTTGGTTACTTTCAGATATGGCTTTAAAGGAGGGCACATCAGGATCTCAGGATTGTAGAGATTTTGCAATCCTGAATGTTTTCCGGTGATATATAACTTACGAGTGGCACCATATGTAAGGAGAAAGCATACGGAACTTTCTCTCCCCCCCCCCCCCCNAACTCTTGTCATATTTGTCTGCCAGTTAAATTAGAGGAAGCACCAATCGGATGTTAAGAGCCCGGCGCGGCATTAGAAATTTAAATGGTAAGTATTACAGGGAAGTATTTGGCGTATTTTAATAGCTCACCGCGAAAATAATAATTTAAAGCGAGCACTTTCACTGTCGTCGTCAGAGAGTTTTGCGACACTAGCTTCGATTGATTGCGTTTTCTTCACTGTTTTCGACTGCTTACGATCCTCAGACATCCTCAGATATGTTGCCGCCGAGTTTACCTATCGAGGTATCCCGCTGTCAGCACTGTCACTGTCTTTGGAAATATTTTCTTTAGGACACCGATGTGGCTGAAAAGATGAGGATGCGTTTTATTATAAAACAGAGTTACCTATATCAGGATTGAAAGCTTTAACACACGTTTGTGGTGGCACGCGACGTTGCCACTTACATTATTCAGAAAATAGGCCGGGCGGAATCGGGCCATCCCCACGCCTTCAAATAAGTCGCGTATTTCCCGCCAAATAATGTGATTGGCCACTCACTCTCCGATTGAAGTTATCACTTATCATCATGTTTTTGTTTACATTCCTTCATGTGGGCATGTGCACGCTTGGTGCGCGCATTTCAGCATAAAATCCTTACTTTTACAATGGTTGGCCTTTCATTCTGTTAGTTTTTTAAAGCAGAACTGTGTAAGATTTGCCTGTTTTTGTATGAGAACACTGGGTGTTTCGTGACGAACCATCGTATGTTTGCGAAAGTGAAAACTTGTAAGTATCTATTCTGAGCCTCACTGATATAGGTAGGATGTTGAATTCGTTCCATGCCTTTTCTTCTCCCGCACCTGTCATACTTCCGTATTTCTGTATATTAATGCAAGACCATCCTCTCAATTGAACTGAATTTACATTCCTTTATCGCGAGCACTTATCTACTGTCACTCAGATTCTAGTTTGTGCTTTGTATCTGTAAGTCAGTGAAAAGACGAGTCTCAAATCTTAATTGCCTGATATCCAATGCCCCGATAAGTAATAATAGCATAGTTAATAGATAATTAATAAATAATATAATAAAATTAATAATAAAATTAATAGATAATAGATAATAGCATAATAGATAAGTTCTCAGCAAATGAACTAAAGATAGCTAAGTAACACTATCATTGTGGATATTGACGTTATAAGTTGGCAATCACATAACTCGGTTTGCGACATCGCAGACTTCCTGTCATACTTAATTTTTTAAGCGGAAAACTACTCAATGGCAATTCTTTAAAACTGCCGTGATTTTTCTTCTGTGTGCAAAGAAAATTCTGCAAGAACTCAAGGAATGATGTCAATTTGTTCTCCTTTAAAAAAATAACATAGGTAGAGGCGGAGATTTTCAGACACCGCTAATGAGATACATCATTGCGCGTATCTCGAAACATCGTCGATATGAAAATAGGGTTTGCATGTAACACAGTTTCTTCTAGTATAAAAATATGCCCAACATTGTGATGCAAAGCAGTAAATTAGTACATGGTCCCATAGTTTTACTAAATTATTTTGTAGACCCTAGTACTGCAATATGGAAAATACTAAAACCTTAATTTTCAAGTCATTATATATTTAGGGTTTCATAGTGATCAGTGTCCCTATTTCAGTGGGCATCATGCACATAATATGCCTGAGAAAGAGGCTTATTTGTGCCTTAAAAAATTGGAGTAGGTATGGACTGAAACATGATTCAGTTGGTTCACGTGGTGCGAAGCATTGTCTGCTCCTTGCTTAAAAAGTGCCTATCATATCGGCTACTAAGGCCCATGTACATTTCAATGGTACTACTAGACCTTAAGGTGGCCGTACCATTACCTCTCCCTGCGTTTTTTCTGCACATTAAGTAAGTCTCACACTTGGTATCTAAAGCGGTGAATAGAGGTTTTTGTGAAGACATTAGAAATGGATCAAAGCATCAGGAATCTCAGCTGGATTTTTTAAACCGAACGGTTTTGGACTACCATCCTCAAGGGTTGTTTAACTTATTTTTTCAGATTTTGTGACAACAGCTGATCCGATCAATCGCATAGACTCTCTCGCTATGTCCCTTTCCAACAATGACACAGCTTACCTAGAATAAGTAGGTACCTTCACAGCAAGGATTGTCAGGAGACGGTGCTCAATTTTGTGACTTATCCTGATTTTTTCAAAGTTGGCACATGGAGATTTTGGCCAAAAAACCTACTTGTACCGAGGGAGGACCAAAGATTATCAATTTTTGAAATGATAGAAGGTTAAACATCATTGAAATACGATTGATCAAGTAGCTACGGTATCCTCTAGGGCTATTGTGGAATGAGGAGCTTGTTTGGTATTTACAGAATGAAAGATTAACATAAAATCTTGTTTTTTTGTTGCTAGGGTACCTAATTCAAATTCCTTTTGTAGGATATTCCCTTGCCAAAATCTGAGCAGTGACTTCTGTTGGAGGACAGCTGAGTGCTCAGAACGGAGCAGTTGCTGTTGATTTATTGGACAAAACACATCTGCAAACATCAAGCTGCAGGTTGGTTACCAAAGATATTTTCAAGGAAGAGATGCCTCTAGTATATGAGAAGTGCACGAAAACCTGATCTTGTGATCGAAGGATCAATACTGAATTCTTTTTGACCAAGGATAGATTATCCATTTTTTCAGTGTTCAATCAACATAGAAATACTTCCACTAAGTTCATTCACATGGAATTGATTTTGATTCAACATTAATTGTGCATTCAAACATCAGTATTCATTACTGATTTAGTAGTCCATCATTTTAAGATCATGACATTTACTTTCAAATTTGTATGAAAGCATTCACTATAAATTCATTCACATGCCCGGAATCAATGTTGATCTGACATCACTGCGTGAATGATAAACCTCATTTATTTTTTATTACATTGTAGGTGAAGCCTAACCCTAACATACTGCTACTAGTTCTTGAACCAGTTAACAAATGAAGGTAGCAAAATGCAACCTATACAGCACAAATATGTAGCTGGTTAGCTCTAGAACAAGTTTTTGTGGAGCTTATTCGGTCAAAAATTACATAAATTATGATACATTAGAAGGCCATTGAAGGGTATGCTAGAGTGGGCCAAAGAAAAGCTTTATCCAAAAATCAAAACCCAATACCAGAAAAAAGTTGCAATATGGCATCACCTTGAAGCCTACCAAAGGGTGTTTTTTTTTTTTAACAAATTGTTTTTTGATGATGTAGGTACCTAGGTTTTGTGGAAAATAATTTGTTTGTTTCGTGCGTTTTCTGATGATTCAATTGTACTTTTTAAGCTAGATAGAATTCGGCCAGAGTCTTTACTTTTGGAATCTAAATTCACATTAACTTACAATTATATGCATAGCAGGTACTGGAGCTTCATAGCTTGTCAGTCAGTTTTCAGTTAAAAATAATGTTTGTGCCCCTAGAACTGCTGGAAACAGAATTGTATTTTGTATTTCAAAAATTTTATCACATTTTTTAAGTGACTTTTTTCTTGTGTCAGCTATCATTGCCTTATCAGTCTAATGGTTTCGTATCTCCGATACCTCCTCTGTTAATTTCTGGGAATTGTCCTGCACAATCAAAGTTCCAAATTAAAGGGACCATTTTTGTAACTTTAGTTGAATTTACTGTTGAATTTAAAAGACACCGGCGCCAGTAGTGAAAGGTTTATGAACAGTGAACTTTTTTATGAGTATTGGAGAGTCAGCCTGATGACTCAACCCCCCCCCCCCCCCCCCCCNCCACCGGGAAGAACAGCGTTTGATTTTGGAGGGCTTTCCCCTAAACTGGTAATTTCTTACAGGCAAACCATAGCTAAGAACCCTGTCTGCTGGGCTGCAGGTGACACTGTTACCTACCCAACATATCTGATGGGCATTCCCCGATGCTTCACCCTGAGGATGCGCTTCCAAGAGGGGTTTCTTTTGGAAAGTAATGAAAATGGGAGACTTTTTCATTCTTGATCTGATGACTCAAATGCCTCTCTTGTCACATTTCATACAACCAGGTGCATTCTCTCTACGAATTTCATAGAATGGCCGTTCTAAAATCCTCTCTCTATAATGTCTTGACAATCTTTTGCACTGCTGTGTGATATGACACCGCAACACTTGACTTTCAGCTGGGATTCATTCTGGGAGTATAATTTGTCTGCATGTCAAGTGCAAGTCAGTATTTGTGCCTTTGAGCTTTTTCTGCACCCCTGCAAAATCTTTTATCTCAGGTTCCAATTTCATTGTTTTGTAATCTTATTTTACTTTTTTGGGAAATGACTGAGCATCTAGTGTTATCCTGAGTACCAAATTTGATGCAGTTTTCTACAGATTTCGAGAATATTTTCTGGACATTTTGCACAAAAATGTTTACAAAAATTAATGGAAATCTATAAACTTAGCAACTGAGATACATACACAATGGCAGTACAAAGCTATTTCCCGAGTTATAGTTTTTAGGGGATCATTTTCTGAAAGCAAACCATTGAATTTTACAGTAAGAAACCACTAATTTGGGCTCAACCTTAATATCAATTTTCTACATTCATAGCCGCCTAAGTTCCCAGGACAAGACATCTTGCTATTTACTTTAGTTGTGCTGGAGCTCGGATTAGTAACTCAGTAGCAAATCCATCAACATTTCAAGTTCTAATTTAAGTTTCCAGAGAGCCAAATTGACACTATTAAATAACTTACAGTCAAGCTCTAATGTTCTATTTTATGCTGCAAAAGGGAAATTGATTTTTTTTCTTAATTTTTGGCGGTGTGACAAGTACATATGAATACGAAAATTTAAAACAGAATCAGGACTGAAGCATTATAAATATAGTGAAATCTCCATATCCTAGGAGGATAGGGAAAATAGAATATGTGTTTCCAAAATGAGCCACCTTCAGTTCCTAATTGCAAAATGCAGTCCAACTCTATTTCAACATTTTCTTTATTTAACAACTTATTTACATCCCTAAAATCAAAAGAAAGAAATGCCTCCCTATAAAATTCAATCAATGAAAAATTGTTTATAAGTATGAGATGGTACCTTTAGTCTCTCTTTAGATGAATATGAAGTCGCATAGTTGTAAAAAACGTCCTGCATCTATACTTTGTTGATCCTATGCATAATATATTAGCATTTTGGTTAGTGACCTAAGCTCTATTAAGTCTCCTCTCTTTTGTTTCAGTACAGCAGCCATGAACAATCTGCACTGTCAGTGCCTTATTTTATTCGCTACCAATAGATGCAGGGAGAGAGGTAGAATCCAATTGTCCCGTGCCAACGCGCGAAGGACGAGAAGTGCTGTTGCATCTCCACATTACATCAACGCTGTAGCTTTCTTGCCCGAAGTTTATTGCAGAAACCACCCTGGCATTGTTGAAATTTTCAAAAAGAATGAGGTACGCATTGTTTGCAATGATGATGAACTTCTTTTGCCCACTGATCATGGCATGTGGTCTTTATTTGAGGTACTATTAGATGACAGACCTGAGGCAACTGTGGAACCTGTCTCCATGATTTTGACTAGTATATCCATTTTTTTTATGAGAGATACCCTTCTTTCAATTTTCTCTAGAACTGAACTGGTTCTCATCAGCAAGGAGACCTGGTCTGAAATGCAGGATCTGCAAATTTCCAGGACCTCAACCCATGTGAAGTCTGCTGTGGATGATGGAAATTGCCAAGTATTTAAAGAATTGTTGAACGCCCCCTTTATCCTTCCTTTCTCCTCTTCTAGTGTAGATAGTATGCTGTTTCTAGCTCATTGCAGGAGGCAAAAGATTTTGATGCAACTTGCATTGGACCATGGAGCTGACATAAGTTACGTATTTGCAGGGAAACCAATGTTACATCATGCGTGTTTCGATGTTTCAATGGTTAAACTGTTGCTTGAAAAAGATGCAGAAGTAGATTTGGTGGATGACGATAAGATGACTGCTCTTCATCATGCTTGCAAGAATTATGATAGCATAGAATTAATAGAGACCCTCCTAGAGGCAGGCGCCTCTATTGATGCAAGAGCAAATGATGGCTCGAATGCCCTGCACTTTGCTGCAGATCCTGAATGGATTGATTGCCAGGTGAATCCAGCAATAATAGATCTTCTTGTAAATAGGGGCATTCCTGATGTCGATTCAAAGAATGATATGGGTCTCACACCTCTCGGTGTTGCAACCAATTGCCAATTGATGAAAGCACTTTTAGAGAATGGAGCAGATGCTAATAACATGGGCCCGAACCAAGAGACAAATTTATATAATTTTGCTGAAGATGGGGAAAATATTCTGGAACAAGTTAAAATTCTGTTAGATTTTGGCCTTCTGATTGATTTGAAGCATATCAGTAATAATTTTATCCTAAAAGAAGTGCTTATCTTTTTGATGTATATCAATCCTGAAGTATTTAGCTATGTTCTGGAAAGGTGTTTTGTTCATCACCTACCTCTGACAAAAGCTCAAATTAATGAACTTGCTTTCATGGACGGCGCAAATGATAATCTACGAAATAGGAGAATTTTTGCGCGCCATCTAGCAAAAATTATATCGTTACAACAAGATGTTTGTGATGATGATACTGCTCAGTCTGTCTGGAATGAGGCAGAAATCACCTTCAGTCAGTTTAAGAAGAAATGTGAATCAGAAGTCAGTCAGATGCAAAGACACATAATTCCTGGAACAGATCTGTCTGTTTATGATGTATTAATGATGAATGAGTACAGAGTCGCATGTCTCCTGCGAAACCCACTTGTAGAGTTTGATCAACAGGAATTAGAAGAATTGTTTCCCTCATATAGAAAAATTTTAATGTATCATATACATGAAGGACATAACCGATTTTCCCTGCAGAAACAAGCCATTTGCAGCTACGAATCTCTATCTGTCCATTTCAGAAGTATGCCTGACAAAATTAAGATGAAAATAACATTCTACCTCAGCGTTCCTGATATCATGAATTTGAAACGAGCTTGCCATCAGCCAGGAATTGTAAGAATGATAAAAGAGACCATGTCTCCTTGTTAAGTATCTCATAAACTCAAATATTATTTGCCACACTTTTCACTCTTTTTTTTTTATCTGCTTTGCGCACCGTAGTTTTTTTTCGTCCTTATTTGCCATATGAAATTGTACCACAAAGTATCTGGTCTTCATAAAGATGTAGAGGTCCTCAATTTTCTATTTTTTATCATAAGTCAAAAGAAAGCCTTTGTAATCGTGCTGACAATAATAGACAAAATATGGATCAAAGCAAGCAGAAATTGAATAGAGGTCAGTAACCGCATGAAATATGTGCTCCACCTGGGAGAACTTGATCAGGCAATCGTGGGAAGAGAAGGATGTTAAAGAAAATTTGTAGTTTATAAATTGGAAATTTTTTGGGGGGAAGGGGAGGGGGATGAAACTTAAAACCCAAAAATTTTAATTACCAATCATGATTGAATGAGTAGGGAAATGAATCTGGTGTCTCTCATTAGAAAACTTGTGCCATGAAATTAAAAATTGACAATTTTTCGAGCTTCCAATGAAGGACAGACCTATGTTTATTTCAACCACGTTTATAATACTCTTGCACCATGAAATTTGAAACATCTGCCTATACCAATTTGGAAAATTGCCAGCATTGACTCCCAAAGAAGTCATTGAATAAAACCCAGGACGATATTTTTGATAAAAAAAAGATAAAGATTATCCTTTGCCTCCCAGTGACCAGCTAAAAGGCGAAAAGAATGAAAAGCATCAAAAGATAGCTTCCTCCAGAAGTTCAAAAGAAACTGCTTCCCTTACAATAGAAAGAGATCAAGAGATAGAACAGTGTGTCCATGAAGCCTTTTGCTTTCAGTAAAGCAACTATCGTCCCTTTTGGTCCAGTCATGATATTTCGTAATTTTTGTGACAAATAAAATTTTTTACAAAATTATTTACAAGATAACGGGTTTAAATTGCAAATCTGAGCCTTAGTTAATCAGGATCTGAAACAAGCTTTCAAAAAAAATTATTCCTCCCAACTCAACTCTGAGGAAAGAGAGAATTTAGTATTCATTAACATCATTGATGCACACCATGCTTGTAACATTGGCACTCGATGAACCTAATCTTTATGTTTCAGTGAAGACAAGAGTAACGAACGCATCCAAAGCCTTATTCTGCTCTCCAAAAATGTCGATGATCACAGATCTGGGATACTCTTGAGTAAGGCCACAATAAGAGCAGAAACGAGCCCTGCTTCACTCTCGCAAGTCATCAGAGTAGCAGCTTTTCTTCCTACAGTTTACTGTAGAAAGCAATTAGGTATAGTGAAATTATTTAGAAATAATGGCATCTTCATAGTCAGCAATGATGACAAGTTGAGGTTGCAGAAAGGAAATGATTCGTGGGACTTAATTGAAATACATCTTGACCAAAACTCTCTGGCACAGAAAGAAACCCTAACTGTGATCTCGATGAATAACAAATCTGATGGCGGGCGCGGTAAGCACGATCTTGAATGGATTTTTCACAATACAAGCCTCAAAATCCAGACAGAACGCTCTCTCCAAAAAGCTGCCAAAACACAACCAGCCGTTGACAGCACAAATTTTGAAGTTTTCAAGCATATCTTGAGTCATAAATTCATCATTCAGTATTCACTCGTATTGCCACAGGAAATTGGGAGCCTTCTGACAGTTGCCTCCAACAGAGGGCAGGAGATCTTGGTCCAATTGGCGCTAGACTATGGTGCCAATGTTGACTTTATAAGCAGCAAAGGTCGCACAGCTTTACATTGGGCCACTCGCAATGGTGCCCTTCCTCCAGTTAAAATTCTCCTCAAAAATGGTGCTGATGTTAATAAGAAGGATGGAAAAGGTTGGACGCCTCTTCATTTTGCTGCCAATCAAGGACACCTGGAAATCGTAAGGACTCTCTTATTAAATGGAGCTGAAATCAATCCAACAGGTAGTGATGACCGCACACCCTTACACTGGGCTGCTGGTAACGGTTTGGTTGCAGTTGTCAACCTTCTACTTGATGAAGGCGCAAATGTCAATGCCGAGGATGAGGATGGTTACACACCTCTTCATTTTGCAACGAAGCAAGAACATTTGGATGTGATGGAATTACTCGTCCTAAATGGCACAGATGTCAATTCAAAAGCAAAAGATCGAGGCTATACCCCTTTGCACCTCTTAGCATACCATTGGATTTGCCCCCAAAACGCGGTAGTCCAGTTGCTTATTGAAAGAGGCGCTGCAGTTGATACCAAAGACAACAACGGCAATACACCATTGCAAGTTGCTGTGGCTAATACAAACGTTTTATGGACAAGTGTGGTCCAGCTGCTTATTGATGGTGGTGCAGATGTAAGCTCAAAGGACCGACTTTTTCGCACTCCATTACAAAATGCGGGATCATTCGAAATGATGAAAGTACTACTTGAAAATGGAGCCGACCCCAACGAGTCTGACTCAAGTCAATTAAGAGCTCTTCTTGAAGAGATCGATTATGAAGGTCCGAGTAGAATCCAGGTGTGGTTAGATCATGGAGCATGTGTGGAAAGAAAATTTGATGGCAAGTCAGTGTTAGCGTGGGCTTACCTGTGTGGACGTTCGAGCACCAAAGCATTTGAGTATGTCCTTGAGCGCTGTTTCATCAATCCCTTTTCTCTAATAGGAACTGAAATTCATGAGACTCTGTTTCACCCTACTTTTGACCTCCATCATTACGCAGGGATGGATGGTGCGAATCATCGCTCTGTCGTCTGTTCGCAACCCTACATCCGTCATCTTGTCAAGATCATGTCCTTGAATCTTTATGAATTTATTGATATTGATATTGAGTCCATTTGGCATTGGAGAGGAGAAACCTTCTCAGATTTCAAAGAGAAATGTGAAGCAGAAGTCAATAAAATGAAAGGTCAACTAATTGCTGGGGCTTATCTATCAGTTTTCGATGTTTTAGCCAAAAGTGAAAATGAAATTTCCTGTCTCCTGAGAAACCAATCTGTTGTAAGTGTTATTAACCTTCTCTGTATAAAAGAGTCATTTCCCATCTATGGAAACATTCTGACTCATCACATCGAGAAAGGACGGAATAGATGCTCCTTTCAAAAACGAGGCATCTGTTGGTTTAGCCGCCTGTCTGATCATTTTAAGAGTCTTCCTTTCGAAATCAAGGACAATATCACAAGTTATTTGAGTGTCATTGATATATTGAATTTGAGGAGAGTCTGCACTCATTCAATGGCTGCTAAGAGGCGGAATTCTTCTTCTCGAACTTGAGATGTACATACCTACTTTTTTCTTTATTTTCTTATTTTTCATCAACAAATTTTTATCTGTATTCCTCACAGAATTAAGAATATTTTTGATATATTATTATAAGATAAAATTATGATTATTAGAGTTAAGATGCTCCTAGGACAGGGGGCTAATGGAAGGTATATACATAATGGGTCACTATGTAGGTACATATTATCTTAAGATCAAGTACAGTATGTAGATAATTGTACATATGTATAATCTGTTAAGGTTAAAGTTTATATACATTTAATTGGACCATGACAACCAACAAACTCATAGAGGCAAGAAAGAGAACATGGACAAATCTTTCATAAATTATATTATTATTTTATTTATTTTACAGTTAATGTTTTTTTCCCTTCCAAAAAAAAAATTAAACTCCAATAGTATGTGTTCCTCCCTTCAAGAAATGTTTAAGCTTAATGTTATTAAAAATGTATAAGAAATTAATCTACTAATAAAATTTTTTCCAAAGATTTTCGTCCTCTTTATTTTCCCTGTGGGATAACCTTCTATGATGATATGTAATTAATTTTCTATGAATATGACCATCCAGAGGCAAAGGGACCTCAGTCAACAAGGGTCATACTTTCATTAGGACGATTTTAGTCGAGTTAGGGCGAAAAATTGAATTTAGATTTTGACGAAAAACTCTCTCTAGTCTGCCCAAAAATTTTTGCAACGTATAGTCAGGTTCATTTATGTGTGACTTAATGGCGTAACAGCACTTTTATACATGAAACATGGAAGTTTAGAATTCGAAAAATTTTCCGTACAAAACTGAGTTTTTTCAATTCTAAGCTTCATACCATCATCAATCCCGTCTGTTTGAACATTTTTAACGTTCTTTTTCTCCAATATTATTCTAGAACCATTCATAATGTTGTGTTATGAATCACACAACTTTGAGTTTCTGTGGATTGTTCCTTTTTTCTTGTAGATGGTGATGCAAGGTCAGGTGTAAAAACGACATGAGAGGGATTATGTTGTTATTCCAGAGAATTTTTTTTTTTTTATGAGCATATGCCCAAGTGTTGTCACTTAAATTTCGCACCATGTGCCTTAGGTAATTTTCAAGAGAGTTGTGAGATTTTTCTTGTATTTTTTCATGTGGTTTTTTTTGTCGGTGTCACTTTAGGTAGAACAAGCAGAAATTACGAAGTCCATAAAATGTCATTACTGTCCCTTAACTTCTCTGCTTTGCTTAGAGCTTTATCTTGCACGAAAATAATACTCTGGTGGTACACTTGCATGATAAATTAAAAATATAACCAGATTAGGTACCTTGAAAACACAAACAATGTTCAGCTTACTTAGAAGCCGAAAATGATACAGTTTATCATGTTCATCAAGTTCCTTTGTCTGAATTGTTGCTCTATAAACTCTTTTGAGAGTGGGAAATGAAGTCTGTCACTATGCTTCAGATAAATTTAGTAGGTAAACATCGATTTTTTACATCGTTGTCTTTGAATAGTGTAGATTAGCAGACGGATACAGGAGCAGGGGACTGCAGTCATTAGGTACAAATAAGGAGCTTAAAAAACAAGTTGGTGGTCAGTTTTTGAAATAATTGAGATATTAATGATTTCAACTATAGCTAGTCTGAAAACAATTTCTGGGGAAAATTCACCCGTGAAATCCAATTTTTAAGCATCGAATAGTGAGTTCGAACTCTTTCCACCATAAGACTTAGTGTAATTTTAAAACTAAGAACATGCATTTCTTGAAATAGCAAAAACTGCATTTATCCCACTAGTCCTTCCAGCCTCTCACATTTTGGGAATAGTGCTTAGGGCCTATTTGGAGATAACGATGAGAGGAAATGCAAATCGATTGCCAAATTCTAAAAACATGGATTATTCCGTAATGTATTGTTGCAATTTTCCTCTCCCAATTTGTTTCTTCGAAAAAAAGAAAAAAACATCTTGTTATTTCTTAGAATTATCATCTTTGATTTTTTTCCTCTATTATTCTGAAATTTCAAGCAATTATCTTAGTCAGTTTTTTTAATAGTCTTAAATATGAATTGAGATTTTGAAATGTTGTAATTGAGGAACTTGGAGAACAAGAGCAGGGATGATTAAGTGCAGTTTTTAGAAAAATTGAGGTATTAATAATTCCAACTAAAACTTAGTCTTCAATTATATTCTGTTAATGAAATTCAATTTTCAAGATTCAAAAAGTGAGTTGGAACTTCCTTTTTGCCCTAAGGCTCCATGTAATTTTGAAACTTTAAAACACGTATTTTCTTGAAATAGTAAAAACTGCATTTTTTCTCCTGTCCTCCAAGCCCCTCAATTGAGTTCCGTGTTTTCAGAATCTGGCGATCGATTCATGCTAAAACAAAAAAAAATTAATTTCTTTACAACTTTTGAACGATCAGATCAGCTCCTCATTCTCCTACGCTCAGTCCGCCTTCCAGCCGCCTTCAAAAAACTGGTTAAGCAAAATGCGTTACGCCAAAGTTGCTAGCTAAATTCCTTGAAGCTGATCCTAGTTCATACTTTTAACGTCAGAATGCGTTCGCATCTTTTCACGGAAATTTGATACACTCGTTTGTTTTGGTCCCTTATCCTTATCAATCAAACTATACGTAGTAATCTATTCATCCACGATAAGGTCCCGTTGACTTTCCACTTGAATGTCTTGAGTACCTGTGTGTGTTTTCCACGATTTTTGCACACTTTACATTCTCTTTTAATCCATCGCTGATTTATCAACGACTGACAACTTACAATTATCTCATTAATAAGATCTCTCTCCTCCCCTGTACATGTCTTTGAAATTGTCATTTTCGCATTGTAAGTGGTAGAATTTGTACCAAGTGCCGGATTTCGCAGTATCGCCTGTATTTTGCTTGATGAACGTGACATCAAGACAGCTCATCATGTAAGTTTTTTATCTGTTTCAATTCAAACTAAGGATATTATTGTTCAGGGGATGGTGCGTCCACACCTCTGAAACATAATCTATTCAGGGCCTGCCTCAGGATATGGACGCAGAGACGAAGTAGATACTCTCAATTTATCCATTTGACCAGTAAGCTCTCTTACCCTCTAATGCTGACGCTGGAATCACACACTAAGTTTGGCAGCAGAATGTTGGAGTCAACAGTGAATCGCTCAACGGCTAAAATTTTGTAAATTTGAGTTATTTTCATCCAGGTTTGTATCAAATCTATTTGAATAGTTCAGGCAAACTGATAACTGCTGAGCTCCAATCCTCATCGGTGCCTTGAATCTTTGCACATAATGCTTCAAATCCAGGAATTGGACCGATGACTTTCACATTCAAGCCATATTCCACTCTCATATTCAGCTTGTGATCCCAGCTTGAAAGGTCTATTTGCTAGAATCTGAAACAGTTCAGTAGAGGGACCATGCGCTCACTCATCACATTGATAGCTGATCAAAAGATTTAACAGTTTTGAAAAAGGCTTATCCTCATGAAACATAGGCGCTTTAGGTATCTAATTTTTCCTAGCTCTTCAGTTTTTATTATTCATTACTATTTTATTAAAAGATGAAAAGACAGCTTTGATCTGACATGAATACTTGTCCATATCATTGCTGACTTCCATCATACTTCGATTTTTCATGGAAAACTTCTCAACGTCAATCCTTTAAAACTGATATGATTTTTCATCTCAATGCAAAGAAAATTCTGTGAAGAGTTCCGGGAATGAACGTTGATTTGTCCTCCTACAGAAAGAATGTGAGCTGAGTTTTTAAGAAAAATTGCAAACATGATGCATGATTTGGGAGTTTCATTACCAATTTACTTCATTAATGTGTGAAAAGTACCGCACTTCGAATCCAGTATCGAAATTCAAAAGACGTTCAAAAAAAATATCAAGCTGAATCTAGTCAGATAGTTTTCATCCCAGAGTATTGTTCATCATATGTAATTTAACATTTTTTAATTAAACTTTTGTAGGAACTGGATTTATCAAACTATATGAGACTCCTCTTTATCCATAGAATCATGTCTGACGTAACTGTTGATGAGCTCATCAGTCAACACAAGAATACATTTAAGACTTGTCTTCATTTTTGGACAGCAGGTGAGTTTTTTTTTTCTTCTCCTTCTTCTTTTTAATGTGTTAGTTCAAGTAGGTAAGTACCTACAAGCATAAAAAAAATTATAGATTCATAATTAAGCATTATCATTTTAACACCTAAGTAATTCATGAAATACTTGAAAATGAGAGAATTTTCATGAAGCATACCTAACTGACGTCTATATATATTTTTTTAAAGAAAATACAGTATATCGATGATGTAAATGGGCAATCCTGTAATTAGGTTTAAGACGTTGCAGATTTCCTGTCATATTTTAATTTTTCAACAGAAAACTACTCAACAGCAATTCTTTAAAACTGCCATGATTTTTCTTCTCTGTGCGAAGAAAATTCTGCATAAACTTCAAGGAATAATGTCAATTTGTTCTCCTTTAAAAAAATAACATAGAGGTGGAGATTTTCAGACACCGCAAATGAGATATGTGATTAGGGACTTGAGCCGTCAATATGTAGCAAAAATACTTAACATTAACAAATTTTTCACCCAGATTTTAGAATTATTTTCAGTTGCTTCTTTTCAATGATGATTGTAAAGTTTTTATATTTATTGACCAAAAAGTGCAGAATACTATCATATTTGATCGGATGTAACTAGGGAATCTGAAGGAAATGTATTGCAAAGAATTTCCTGACACCTACGAATTGACAATGAAAGTCCCAAACCATGTATCTCGGCTTGCAACGTTGCAGACTTCCTGTCAAACTTTATTTTTCATATGGAAAACTACTTAATATTGATTCTTTTGTGCTTTCATAGTTTTTCCTCTCTGTGCAAAGAAAATTTTGTGAAAATTTTTTAGAATGATGTCGATTTGTTCTCCTTCAAAAAAATAAACTGGGAGCCAAGATTTTAAAATGCCTCAAACTATTTACATAGTTTGGGTTGGGAGTTTCACTGTCAGAGTGTGCTGTTTATGTCTTCAAAAATTATAGAGAAGAAATGCTAGATCCAATTGTTTCACCTATTTTAAAATTTTATAAATAAAAATTAGAATAAGAACAATAAATAGCCGGAAGGAAGTAATATTCAATCCCTTCGAAAGTGGAAAGAACTAATGGACCATCAGATGAGGAATAAAATGACACCAAAAATTAGTCATGTTATGAACTTTCTTTTAAAAAATTCTACCAGAAAATGATACAATTACAGGTTTTGAAATCATTTCTTGTAAAGATAAAACTGTTCAACGCAAAGTAAAAAAACGGATAACCATCCAAACTAACGGTCATTAATTAATACTTACAGCATCTGTTTGTGAGGATACTGAGGGAATTGATTTTTGTTTCAGTATCATTCCAAGGACTTCTACTACACTGAGTTTTCGACTGATAAAATTCACCTTTCTCCACGCTGGTAAGAACCATAATTGGTTTTTGTTTGGTCAACAATGGAGTATAACAAAATTACGTACATGTTAGAAATCACGCACAACAATACCGATTTTTGTTATCTGGTAACCGAGTAGGTCTCCAAGAATTTTTAGGTTTTTTTACTAATACTACACTCCCCTGTTCTCCTTAATTTTTGTAATATGGTCATCCTATCTATAGTTGATTGATGAGGACGATTTTCTCTGAAAATCAATCTGCTGAAAACCACAGATTACATTCAGTATTTTGACAATTATTTTTCATCACAATATAAAAGGAAGCCAAAACTAAAGTTTTACTTGGCCGTAAGCTAACTTTAGGACCAATTCACACAGGTCAGTCATTCCTGTGGACAATTTTGAGACCCTACAGCGCATTGTGGTGGACAGATTAGATGCAGTGTATTTCTTATAAAAGCAGCCAATGCCATACCACACTGGCTGTTATGGAGTGAGGGCTAGGTGAGGTAGTGGATTCAAAAAAAATGTGCAATGACTGATCTATGTGGATTTGTCTTGGCTAAAATGTCATACCTAATACCTCTCAAACGGACAAGTACGCTAGGGCCAGCCATGCCCTACTTTACAGTTACCTTACGGTGGCCTACTAGCTGTTACTTGTTTGGCGAAGTCAGTTCCTGCAATGAAATCAATAACAAAATTTCTTTGTGAATGTTCTATGTGAGTGTTTTTACAAGGCTTGCTGGTATTTATGCTCCTCACCAAAGTACCTTCAAGAAATACTTCGCCCGCTATTGTTTCTCAGTGGATTTTATATTTATCATCATCTGCATGATAATTTAACTTCATCTGTCAAGGGGGTCAAGAATTGTCAGATACAAGCACTTTCATCTACCTTGCGCAAAATATGGGAAAATAGCAAAATTGAGAAGTTCTTTGAAATGTTGCAACACCTTTACCGTTTTTTCATTCGTCAAGCGCTACAGCTCTGATCAAATTTTTCTGCCAAGCTTATGTCCCCAAGAAATCTTTCCTTAAAGAAATCTTCACCGAAAGTCGAAATCTAGAAATTGTGGCTGTTCTGCAGTTAAATGATATTGTCAGGCTTGACTGTACCATGGAACTTTTCTTTAGGAAGAATGTTATCATCATCAACACTTGTCATCAATTAATCAACATACATCATTACCAATTGTCATCAGCATATATCATCATCCATCGTCATCATCATCGATCGTCATCTGTGAACATCATCAACATTGGTTTGACATCCCTCCACAATTCTGGAAATCGAGAGATCTTATTTTTGTAAAATTTGCACAATTCAGTGTGTTAGCAAAGGCTGCATGTTTTATACACAATTAAAATCAACTCTTCTGTCTCAAGACTCCCGCATCAGTGGTGAGAATGATAATGATGATGGTTCGTGCATCTAGAAACGAGTTTCAGCTCATGCATCTTCTTCTTGTTTGATTACTCATTTTATTAACTCTCATCAATTTACCACTAATGTGAGATCGGAATTTTTACACAGCAGCAACACAACACAAAGACAAATGACAGTGAACTAAGGTAGAAAATAATAAGCTAGTAACCAGGCTAAAAAAGAATTAAAGAAACACTGGAGACGTTTTGACTGGTCACCTATAGCCTTTATCGGTTGATTATTCAAAAATCAAATGTGAAAAATTAAGAAGTAAAAGTCCTGATACAACTCTTTTGGTTTGTTCCTGGACCAAAAAAAGAGAAATGAAAATTTAGTAGCAGGGAAATGAAACAAAAGCGATTGAATACCAATTCCAACTGGACCTCATTTTCAACTTTTTATCAAAGTTTGTGGTCAATTTTGATCTTCCTCTCTTTTTTAAATTCTCTCTTCTCGATATTATTGATAATGTCTAAAAAGCCCGAGGCCCCTTTATGATGGCTTAGTTTAAGCTTTTTTGATGACACCTGTAGTCTCTGTATGCCTATAAAGTTATGTTTACTTTTTGACAGCTGATCCATAAGGCAAATAAGTACCTAAATTACGTTTAATTGCATTTAATCTGTAACCATTACCTGCCATAAAATTGGTCATTACATTTAGTAAATTTGTTTCATAATTTAGTCTGAAAGTGTCTGAAAGTTTAACGTTATGTAATAGCTGAAAAGCTCAAGTTGCTATTGTGTAGCTGAACGTCCTAAATTTCAACTGTGCATGAAGATGAGCTACTTTTAGACAATCATGCACACTTTTTCCTAATATTTGTATTTGCATACTGTTTTTGTAACTTGGCTTGACCGAGAAAAATTGAGGCATTACATGCAAAAAGGGCTTTCATATTTTGAAAAAATTGCATTTATCATTATCAAAACGGCTTTTTTGCGACTAAGTTTGTTTGTAACCCATACATCTTTCTAAGAGGGAAATACTCGGAATTGAGTAATTTTTATCAATGAGTAAGTAGTTCCAAAATTAAATAAATGGAAGGTGGTCCTATGGCCCTTTTCACATAGAATGGTGATTTGAGTCAATCTATCTGCACATACACTGTAATTTTGTGAACCCAATACTACAGGACAAAGCATGAAATTTGTAGAATATACCATTCAATCTGTTTTAAGGCTAAGCTGTATTTGTCAGTACCCGATGATGAGAAAAACTGGCAGATTGGAGCAATGTAGGAACTCCAGGCGTTGCAATGCTCTACCGCACATTATGTCTACTCATTACTGTCCTTGTGGCGCAAGCCACCTCCAAACGCATCAATTTGGCCTTTCCACAGTGTACATCTTTTGTTGGCATTTCTCATAGAGTTGTCAGATCATGACCAAAAGTAACCTTATTTTTCAGGATATGGGCAATTGATTTCTGCAAAAAGGGCCCTGCAAATAATGCTTCAATTACCTTTCCTCTTATATGTTGCTCTTGAAATGTAGCAATTGGTTTTGTTCAGTGCCTTATGTATGTATCATGTGCTTTAATGAAGCAGTTGTACCAGCTGAAAATTTTATCATTTGATGGAACAAAAATATTGGCTAATGTGTATTTTGTGGTTACAATTCTTTTGTATTTGTTGTTCAGCAGTAATATCTGTCTTTTTGTTTGGTACTAAAAAATAAGTGTTCCAGTTTGTATTTTTTTGTTATGTTTCATTGGGCCACCAGATAAAGTATGGATTAAAATATTCTGACACATGTTTCCTACTTAAAATTTTAAGTAGAATACGCTTCTGGCAATGATATTTTACTCCTAACCGAGATATTTGACTTTTTTTTTCTATGCGTAAAATCAAACCTCTCATTATGAAAAAACGCAACTCTATGCAAATCAAATCTCCCTTTAAATGTTACCATAATAGCCCCTCCTGCATGAAAATACAATGATCTCAGGGTTTTTTTTGGGGGGGGAGGGGGCAGTTTATTTGGTATTTATTCCAGTTTAGGAATCTACAGCCATCTATAAACAAGAGTTTAACGTAGAAATTATTTTTTATTGTCAGTAGACATTAGGGGAATTTTGGCACATCCTTGCTCCGGCTTTCAAATTTGCAGGGATTAAGGCCAAGTAGAATCTATTTCTGTAGATCCACTCATCAGGTCCGTGAAAATTCGTTGCCACCAACGGGGAGTTGAATCCGGGACTTACTGGTCCAGAGTCACACACACTGACTGCTAGGCCAACCTGGCCAGTGTTGGCGCTCCAACTCAATTGTTGCATGTTGTTTACACTTTAGCAACATAAGTAGGGAAGGAGAAAGGAACATAGCTTGATAAAGAAACCCACCTTAATCGCTGTAATGCGCGATTAAACTCTCGTTGAGTATTGTTTCTCTTGTGAGTGGCCAAATCAAGTTTTTCGAACCAATACGAACTGAAAATGTTATTATCCAACTAGGAGTTAATTTAAGCAGTTTCTGTTGCTTAAATCACGTTTACAAGAAACTTTGATTAGGAAACATATATCATAATGCTTTAATTTGTACCTTGTCTGGTGGTCCATTGTTTTAAAAAAGTTGAACAAATTTTTGATAAAGAAATGAAAATTGTGTGAAAGAGAGGAAAGAATAATTTGCTCATCAATGAATGAAAACCATTGGCTCATAGGAAGTCCAGAAACTAAGAAGTCCAATGAATAAAAATGTGCAAACGTTTTTGCAAATTAGTGTTCATAATAAATTATTGATCAAAACAAGATATCAAAATTAAGAGTCTAGCTTGTAAAACGCAATGCATCAAAGGAAAAATGTCTGTGTGGAGGGCAATTGAAAAGAATTTAACTCATTACTGCAGACTTACACAATTTCCATGATAGAAGAGCTTTTGACGAGTAATTGAAAAAAATCAAGAAACGAAAAAATATCCATCAATTTAACATCAAGGAAAGAGTTATGAATATTTACTCATGAAATATAAGAATCAGTATTTTTAAATTATCTGTCAGTCCCTCAGCAACTAGGTATGCAGTTATACAAAAAAAAAATCATGTTGTGATTATTTTTCACTATTTTCTCAGTCCCATTCTTAAAGGCAATACATTTTAATTTGGCGCTATTAGCACTCCAAGAAGTTTATTTAGCACCAGAGTAAAAGTCGATGTAATGTATTTCATCACTACAAATGATGCAAACAGTCACAAATTGTGCTGCATTCTTTAGAGATTAACTTTTTTTCCACCTCTTTTTGATAGATATTTTTAAGTTAGTCCGGTATCAGTTTTCAATGTACGTAACTAGGCTCCAACCAAATTGTAGCCGTGCCTTTTTTTTTTGAAGTATGAGAGTAAAAAGGTGGCTTAACTTAATGAAAATGGAAAGTTTATGTATGTCTAATGTGTAATTGAAGCTCTTGAACCCTGTGTAAAGAAAAGATATGATCTAAAAAAAATAAGGAAATCAGTTTGACATCGCACTTAATCTTAGTAGGTTTCCATCTTAAATTTTACCTAGAGCCCTCTGATGCTTTTTGTGTTTCAGTCCATTTAGCAGTTGTATCATGGCACACTATGTGCAAGGCCTTATCTTCTTACAAAGGAGAAAGAAGTTCTTTGTTGACGAACATATGCTTTACAATCCAGGAACAAGCACAGTAGAAGCCTCAGCGTATGCTTTTTTGCCCACTGGCTTCACCACAGATCATCCTGGTATGCTGAGATTTTTTCAAGAACGACAAATTCATGTCCTTAATGATGAAAATGTGTCCATCTTGCTTCCGGAGGTTCACTCGCTGCGTAGCATTGAAATTCTTCTTGTTCAAAGAAATCCATTTTCTTTACCTCAACTGTGTGTTTATCGTTGTTTGGACAGTAAAAACACCATCGCAAGTCTTTTAAATATTCCAATTTCTACTGTTGGCAACAGGCAGGTGAAATGCATCCACCCTGTTATTGATGACTATAATTTAAAGCTCCTTGAACGACTTTTCAGCTGCAGAACTGACATTCCTTGCAATTTCGGCCCATACCGTAATGGATATCTCTTGCACATGGCTGCTAAAACGGGTCAGCTAGCACTTGTGAGTTCTCTGCTGAACCATGGTGCAGAAGTCAATTGCAAGGATGAATTTCACAAGTACACAGCTGTGCACCATGCTGTGTTTGGTGGTTTTGCGTCAATCGTTCAGCTGCTTGCTGACAAAGGTGCTGATCTCAACGCTAAGGATCTGAACGGTTGTTCCCCGCTGCACTATGTTAACCACTTTGATGTAGCAAAGACTCTTCTGGAAAACGGTGCAGATGTTAATAGTATGGATGGTGATGCGGTAACACCTCTGTCCAGAATAATCACTGTAGCTGAATCTAATCTCACCTCGGATCGATCAAATTTTGTGAAGTTGTTTTTGACGTATGGATCTCGTTTGGAAGACAGGGACAAGTCAGTCCTGAGAACTGCATACAAAGCGCAGAGGCCGGAAACATTCCTATACCTCCTTGAAAGCTGCTTCACAGACCCTGCTCTCTTGAAAGGAACGTCAGTTCACACAGATGTGTCTCGTGTGTGTTTCAGCATGGTATCTAAAGACTTGTCTGCAATGCATAAAATGCTGCCTCACCATGTGGTCAAAATAATTACTCTTCATCAGAGTCCTCTCTTTGACAATGTCATCAATTCACTCTGGACAGGAATGACTAGTCTTGCCAAATTCAAAAGTCTGTGTGAAACAGAAGTGGAAAGTTTAAAAAATCGAATGTGCTCTGATCCCGAATTGTCTTTATTCGATATTTTGCTCACCAACGAACGTAAAGTGTCTCGCCTGATGGAAAATGATTCGGTGGCGAAGGTGATAAACATCAAAGATAAGGAACTGGATGAAAAGTTTCCCATCTATGGTAATATCATAAGATACCATCTCGAAAAAGCTAAAAATATTCGAAGTTTCTTGAAGCAGGGAAGTATAAACTTTGACGCCTTGTCCAGTCAGTATGTGCGACTACCTTATGAACTAAGAGAAATGATCCTGACTCAGTTTAGCCCTGTTGACTTTATGATCCTCAATAGAACTGTGCGCTCCAAATGGAAGTTGAAATAGCAAAGCTCTTGTAGGATTGATAAAAAATGGTGGGCCCAGCATTCGTTTGATTCGTTACTTGGCCTTTTGACCAGTTTTTACCCTCTATAGTGCATCAAGCTCCATTTGATCAGGCTGAAAATAATGATAGGTAGTGTTTTTCTCCATTAATGAGGCTTCGATGGCACCTACATCCTTTCCTGGTCAAACCCTTAATCGTCCTTTTTTTCTCTTTGTATCTGCTATGAAAGAAGTGCATTTTGCCTTCCAAATATTTATTTTCACCAATGGTTCACTTTTCCAAACAAACAATACATTATTCTAAAAGTGTCAATCATTTATATGTGCAGAAAAAGATTTTTCTTGTTTCGTATGAGGAAACATTTATTGGGTTGGCTCAAATAACTTTTATCAGTTTTTAGAATTTTTGTCCTTACCGTAGACCCTGAACAACAACTTAAATACAAGGAAAATAAAATTTTAAATGTTAATAACAATTTTTTACCTTCAGAACTTATTTTTAGACTGTATTATATTCATGATAAATCTAAAGAAAATTGCCGTCTAAAGTTGAGTTCCCCTAAGATTTAGCACTTTTTGTATGGTATACGGTACGGCAAGGTCAAAATTGATTGTTTTTGTGCTATCATAGACCGTACAAGAAGTGCTGAGTCTTAGGAGAGCTCAACCTCGACCGCAATTTTCTTTAAATTTATCACAAATATAATGTAGTCTAAAAATAAGTTCTAAAGGTAAAAAATTGTTATTAACTTCTAAAATTTTATCTTCCTTGAATTTAAGTTGTCATTCAGGATCTACGGTAAGGATAAAAAGTCTAAAAAACGTTAAAAGTTATTTGAACCAACCTTTTCAAGAATGGGATTTAAGAGCTGCCGGATAATGCAAAGTCTCACGACCAAAAAAGCCCTGTACATTATGAGGAATTCTATTTATCCATTGAAGGAAGGCTTTAGGTACCTTCTTTCTTATTTGGAAAATTTTGAAAACAGTCTGGCTGTTTATATGAACCAGTTTATGTTGGAAAGAAGTGTATGCAAATGATTTAAATCCAAAGCCTGCTTATTCTATGTACGTAGTCCCTTTTAATTCAATTAATTTGACACGGTTTCCTCTAGCATAAATACCTCCGAATGGACGTAGTTATGCTGAAAGGAGCCATGTTTCACATAAATTCCTATGCACATAGTTCCTTTTTACATAAATACGTTCAAATAGCTCTAATACATTCTATAATTTCAAAAAGCAAACAACTCTCATAAACACTCATATTTTTTTTTTTTTTCAACTAATACATTTTGCTAGCACCAACCTTAGATTTCGACTATCTGACTTCATAAAATCGAGAAAGTAGGTGGAGGAAGCTAAACACAAGTTTTTTTTAAAAAAAATCCTCAGTTAATCTCAGTTTCACTTGCTTCGTACCTGCTCATCTTTTAAAAATAGTCAGTCAAGTATGTTTTTTAACAATGACATTCTTTGATAGTGTGCATTTATTCTGTTCAGGGTGTTAAACGGATGAAAGTCTTGCAGAAAGCCAATCTGAACAACGGCTAAACTTTTAATGAGCCAGTGTTGCAGCAAATCTATCAGATGTAAGTTACAAAATGATTCCATCAAGTCCAAACTTAGAGGTTGGTTATACTGTGTATTTTATGCAAGGGTGTTGATGTAAATACCTACTGACACCTATCAGATGTGTCCCCAATGCTAATATCGTCTTAAATAATTAGGATCTCGGCTTTGATAATTGTTGGTCATCTCCTTTAAGCCCTCTTCCAAGGGCTGTCGTATATGCCGTGAATGGTGCTCATGCAAGCTACAGTCTCTAGTATCTCTAATTTTTCAGCTCCATCAACTGAACCCTCTATGATGTCCTCAGAGTTTACTTTCAATGCCTGCCCTACACAGGGTGAAGCTTCCAATACCTCCGATATGTCGACTTTGTCCATTGAGCCCTGTGAGAGTGAGTTAGGAGATCGCTGTACGCGGTCGATTGAAAGGGAAGATCCCCTATATTTTCCTGAAAAATGCCCTCCACCAAGGCTGCTTGAAATAAATTGCACCACTGCCATGCTAAGCCAGATCAAAGACGAAATAACATAAGATGAACCAGACTTGCATCTCAGCGATAACATTAAAGTTGAGTGCCTCGGGACGCAGACGAAACAGAACAAGAATCTTGTTTACCAGAGCAGCCTCTGCATTTAATGCAGGATCCTCGTGTTGCAGAAATCATTTAGGTAGGAAAAGATCCTTCGGACATCAGTGATGAATCCAATCCACAATCATCAACCGCGGAAGGCTCACCCAAATCAATTATTGCCTCTAACGTAATCATGGTGGAAAAAGATCAAAGATTAGCCAAAGGTCAGTCGCAATTTTTGCTCTGTAATATTCTACAGTAAGGCAGCCCTCATTATACATCGCAACACGCAAAATGCAAGTGGGAAACAGTTCGATCGCAGTCATCGCTTGGCCTCTTTTGTTCTAAAACAAGAGAGTAGGAAAGCATATTCTTGCTCACAATAGCGAACGCTCTGTCGCTTGCAATATTTGCTCAGCCTCCTTTGCCCAATCAGATGATCTGAAGAAACATATAATGATCCATAGAAAATAGTTCGAAGCACTATATCACATTGATAAAGAACCAGATGCTCTATTGCAGCAGCTATCAAACAGGAGCTTGGCTCACAAGCTCATGCTGAAGTGCAATGGTGTATCACATAAACAGTCTCGGTCTCGCAATAACAGTGCAGCGACGGCTCGTTTTTGTTTTTAATTTATTTTCCGGTTGAAAATGAAATTGTAATTTTTTTGAAACGTTCCGGGTTTTGTTTATTCCTTTTTCTTTATTTGCAGCCTTTTCCCCAAATTAAGTTGTTCTTTTATCACATAAACGTGAGCCATGCCCAGCCTTTTTCCAAATGAAAGGCACCTTGACTGCTCATGTGTTGAGGATGCATAGCACCAGACAACCATTCAGTCAAGGTTGCAACCACTGTTCATCAGTGCAAATTGAAATGATTTACCAAATGAAGTATGTAGAAGACATTTTTCTAGTGACTAAAATGCAAGCATAAATCACATAAAACCGGTCTTTGAGTGAACTTATGAGAGTATGGTAGAAGCAACAGTTTTGTAGGCACCTTATGAAGAACCATTTGGGAAGAGTGCACATATTCAGTCAGAGTCATCAAGACCGTCCAGTTTTTTATGTGTTTTTTTATTTAGACATTAGACTTGGCAGCATTTATGTTCGCATGGTTGCCCTGCAAATTATTTCAATGCTTTTGTGTGAAGTTTTGTAACTTGAAATCACAGTTAGATGATGGCAAAGTTGCAGTCAAAGCAACACCAGCTGGACGTGTGCCCCTCTCCAGATTGATCCTTCTTACACAGGGTGATTAAAACGTCTCTCACCACCATCAATACCCCTGTAACTTGATAATTTAATTTAAAATAAAGAAACTAAAAAGAGTACTGTAAATTAAAATAGAGACTTGGGATTGTGTCAGTGCTCCTAGGTCAAAGGGAAACAACGTTTGGGATTCTCAAATTTTTAGGAGGACCACCCCTGTGAAGAAGGAAGAGCTGTAGGGATTAAAAGGGTGGTACGGGACTTTTGAATCACCCTGTGAAATGTTTTTTTTGAAGAAACCAAATCTCGCTTTGAGAAAATTTGATATTTGAATCAGTGTCATTATTTTGCAGATCTGGAAGTGTTAATCATCAAAACACATTCTGATTCATCTTTCTCATTGATACTAGTTATAATTTTTATTTGATGATTGTATTCTTTGTAAGGTTTCAGCGTAAACTGTTCTTGTCCTTAACACCCCTCATCTGTTCCATTCATAACTCCTCTCAATTGTAAAAAGCTATTTGTTTTGCTTTGTTGTAAGGCATTGTTGATCTTTTAAATAAAATTGTTTAAGCAACAAATAATTTCGTCCGCTTACTTTTTCTGGTCTCTCAATCGTTCACAGCACTTTTCAATTATTATTACTATTAAAATCTTGCTTTGAAGAGAACATATAATTTTGATGAGCTAATAGCATTACCAGAAGTATTTCCAGAATGACGTCACATTTTTATCATTTGCCTTTTATCAATATCTTGTAGAAATTTGGCCAGAATTTCTGCTTTCAAAAATTTAAGTAGTTGAACATCGATGGCCAAAGTGCTAAGCCACGTACCTCCATTGCTGAATTCCAAAATTTCTGTTTTTATCCTATTTTTTGAAGAGAAGTAAGCCAACTCATAGCTTGAAATTTATACAAAATATTTTACTCACATAGAAGAAGCAACGAGGATTTCAAGAAATTACGTGGACTAGTTTTCAAAAAAAAAAATTAGGTATGACAGGAAGTCAGTAACATCATAAATATAGGTATGTGGTTTCGCACTTTGGCTATCAATATATGACCTTCAGGAGGAAAAGACACTTTATTGTAATGAGCCAAATTGGATTGCGTTAGAAGAAAAGAACCAAGCCACATCACCTATTGCCAAATTTAACCTGACAATATAATTTTTTACAAGAGGACGTTTGTGTAGATTCCTTTGATAATTACTTAAATTTGCACAATAATTCGCACTGTTGTTTTCTTATAAAAAATGAAATTGCCTAATGAAATTTGGCAATGGCTGATGTGGCATGGTTTCTTCCTGCTTAACGCGGTCCAATTTCTTTATATTTTGGTCAGTTTGGGGGTAAATTCTAGATTTGAATTTTCACCAGTGGTTTCCATTTTTAAATGGTTTAGTTTATTTTTGTGTTAATTGAAGATGTAGAGTTGCACCAGGGTGAAAAATTTTCATGAAATTTGTCAAAACTTTGGGTAGAACTATCTCCACACTACAGTTTTTCAACTGTTGACTTAAAACCATCATAACTCCAGTTAGGTTCGACATTTCTGGGAATTTTCTGCTACAAAATCACTATAAAAAACTAGTCCAAGCAGTGGTACCATTATCTTAATTTTGAGTTTTTTAACACTGGGGTCTTCCTCCAGACAAAAAGGCAGATAAGATTATGCTAACGTATAATTTGGTTATTTTGAAGTCAAATTAGAAAGTATTTACTGCAAAAGCGTTCAGACACACTTTTTCATGTTATTAGTATCTTTATTGCATAACGAGTCTTAAATTCATGAAGATTTTTTAACTTTGAGGTAGCCAATTCAATTTTACTCAATCACAGCTGAATTATGATTGGCATTGGAGGTCTCAAAAAATCACACCCCATACTTCCCCCTTTTAAACTTGGGAATATACGTAGTTTGAAATTAAGTCTATGATGCTTTTTGTGTTTCAGTTTTAACAAATATTGAACCATGTCAAGCCATCCCCTATTTCAATGCCTAATCTTTACAATCAATAACCAGTCTCCAGCCACCTCAAACAGTGCATCGTCAGCCTCATCAGGGAACGTGGCTTACGCTCTTTTGCCTGACAATTTCTTGAGGGAACACACCAATATACTTAGACTTTTTGAGCGTAAAAACATCGCTATCCTCAATGGTGAAAGTGTCCTTGCTCTTCTCTCAAAAGTGAACGAGCTGCTTGTTCTGGAAATTCTCTTGGATGGCAGTCCATCAGCCACTCTGGACCCACTTTATGTAGCTACCTCTGCCAGCTGTCATAGTGACGTCCAAAGGCTTCTTGGCGTCAACCCAGAACAAATCAAAGAAGGAGAGTACGATAAAATTCACTCTGCCCTTGATGATGAAAACCTGAAAGTCATCGAGCAAATTTCTAGCCGAAGACCTGATATCCCTTGTAAGTTTAATAATATACATGGGAACCTATTACACATGGCCGCAAGAACAGGTCACTTAGCCCTTGTGATTTTGTTACTGGATAATGGTGCAGACATCCAGTGCAAAAATAATGCTCTAGGTTGTACACCACTACACCAAGCCGTTTCTAGTGGCTCTGAGCGCATAGTTAAACTTTTCATTGATAGGGGTGCCAGTGTCAATCTTAAGGACAGTGAACTTCGTACTCCATTGCATTATGCCAGACATCTAGATTCGGCAAAGGTTCTCCTGGAAAGTGGTGCTGATGTAAATGCCCTAGATAGAGATGGAAAATCACCTCTCCTCAGATACCTGCAAGACCCAGCCGGAGATAGTGTCTTCAAACTTCACCAGGCTGGTTTGCAGTTGTTTTTGAAGTACGGAGCTCAAGTTGAGGGGAAGTACGAGCGCAACCTTATCCTAAAATTGATCCTGGAAAGGTCGTATGTTCCCGTCTTTCAATATCTTCTGGAATGCTGTTTTGTGGACTCCTCGATATTTCAAGATAATGCTCTCCATGATGCTACCTGTGGCATACCTGAAGACCTTATTAAAGAGTGTCCTCATTATTTCCACGAGCTGGGCAGAACATGGGACAATATTAATTGGGTTTTCTCTCGCCATTTGGTTAAAGTAGCAACACTCCTGCAAATTCCTGATTCAGAAAATGTAGTTGAATCTATCTGGCGGGGAGGAAAACGCCGCCTTGTCAAATTTAGGAAAGTTTGTGAAGAAGAGGTGATTCGACTGATAAGTTTTCAGATTGCTGAAACTGGAGTATCACTGTTTGATATTTTGACAAGCAAAGAAAAAAAAATCGCCAGGCTGCTTGAAAATGAATCAATTGCAGTAGGTCTCAGTTCTTTAGAATTTAGCGAACAGTTCCCAGAGTTTGGTAACATAATGAAATACCATTTAGAAAAAGGAAAAAATTGGAAGGTATTTCAGGAAGAAGGCTGCAAGAGCTTCAAGATCTTGTCCTGCCACTTCAAAGCTCTACCTGATGAAATTAAAGAAAAAATTATCAATTTTCTCAGCCCTACAGATATTATGAATTTGAAAAGGACTGTTGTAATTCTTGCCAAGGCCTAGAATTGAAAGTTTAACCTCGATTTTATAGAAATCTGTGCACCAATCGTCTAAGTGTGTTATCTTCCTTAAGTCAATCTAACTCTTTGGACTGAGTTATAGAGGGAGGCTCTATCACAATAATGTTATTTTCATGAAGCATCAATAACCTTCAATCATGCAAAACCGCCCGCTATCCAGTTTGTCGAGTTAATTCTTTCATGTGCAACTCTCATTTCTAACGAACGTTATCACAGTTAAAGGGACTACTTACCTATTCGAATTTCTTAAATTATAAATATTTGAAATCGTCTCCTTCCCGCTAAAACATCACAGATGTTGCTGGGCATCCCATTATTGTTGGAATTTTTTCTTCAAAGCTTCTGCACACTTCCATGAAAAATTCAGAGATTAATCTTGATGATACAAGAAATGGTAGGTGAAATTTTTAAGTGATGATGTTCATTAGTTGTTCCAGCAAAAAAATTGGACAAGTGTGACAAGTCGAAGCAAAAAGCTTGTGATACTTTGGCTGGAAGCTGAGAATATATTAAATTTCAGAGACTTGAAACTTTACAGGTACTCTGGAAAATATTGAATTTTTGAGGTAATTTTTTTGTCTTTCGAAGTTCAATGCTTAGGTGCCATATTCTTTCTTGAATTGAATAAGTATATATTTCAATTTAATGAAAACAGAAATAAATTTTTTCTGCTGCTTTTTGCTTCAAGTGTTTTCGTTCCCCCATGTTTCCTCCGCTTGTGAGAGAACCTGAATGTAAATTCGAATTTTTAAAAGAATTCAATGCTCCTATCAGACAGACAAAGATTGTACACATAAAAAAAAACTGTCATTGTTTTCTGCATAAGAATGGAATATGATGAAAAATTCTGAGGCTTGCGAAGGAATAGTTTCATTCAGTTAAGGACCACCTGAAGTATAGTGCATACGAATATTCTGATACAAAAATTCTCAAAACAAAAAAAGTAAATTCTGTGATTTGCCTCTAAGTAGGTGGGTAATCCACCAGTATACCAGATGTTATACTAGTTGTTAGCTGTCCCAGTTATGTCATCTCCATAAGTTGATGAGCTGCACTGAGAACCACATACATAACTATTTGTAGAGCAGTTAACATAGGTGCATGATTGAGCAGTGAAGTTTCTACCCCTAAGGTATTGTGTGTTCAGTTGTCTCAACATGACATCCGTTTTTGGATTGCTTGAACAGCACTCCCCTACTGTTGTTACATAGGCCAGCTTCCCTGACAGAGCAATCCCCTCTGTTTTAGCATTGGGAATAGCAGCTGTAATAATCTCTGTAATCGCTTTGAGCGAGTTCCCGTTATCCGCTACCTCAACACCTTTTGCACAGGCCTGACATGAGACTTTTGGATTCGCATAAGAGCACAGAACTGCATTTACTGCCTGAACTTGTTCAACTGCCTTCTTGACGACAACATCACTGGCTCCGCCTATGAGTAGCAAAGCGTTAACTATTCTCAAGCTAGTGGGAGCACAGTAGACACATGAAAAAGTATCGTTTGGGCATGTGTTTGGTGCTTGAGTATACTGCGGTAAGGAGTCTGCTGCATGCACCTCTAAAAATGATGACAGCAAGTATGAGGTTTTCAATAAAGCAAGTGTGATAATAGCAGCTTTTCCCATTGTTTGTAGGCTGTTTTAACTTCGCTGCTACCAAAAAACCTGAAATATTCATGAAACAGGGGTTTTAAAACTAGTGCAGTTACGCAGAAATATTTTTTTTTGCCTGTAACCCTGTTTGTAATTCATAGTAAGGGGATGACAATATTGATTACTCGGCAGAGTCCCCATCAAACAAGTTTATGTACTGTTAGAGTGTGATAGAAGATCAGCCATTGTAATTCTTATATTTACTTGCAACGTTAAACTGAAGACAAATGATCTTGAGGTACTGCAAGAGTGCATAAACTTGTTATTAATTGGCGTGGACTTTAATCAGGATATAGGACACCCTTCTCCTCCTTCCTAGTGATTCTCAAAAATTCTGTGCCCGTTTCCTCCACATTTACATGCTACTGACCCAGGCACTAAGCAAAGTAATGCAGCTACTGGAAGTAACAAGAGAGTAATGTTTTTTTGTTGAAACCATATTTTCCTCCAAAATTAGTTGGATTGAAAATGTTTGTGGATTTTGTTGAATTTCCGCCGGAGCATTAGAGAACAAATAAAATAGTTTCTGCATTTATGTGCAGGGTTTTCAGCAATCAACCTGGATGTAATGTGGAACATGACTAATTTTCATGAGAGGAAGACAGGAGGAAGAGGTGCCTTCTACTATAAAATTCGTTTAAAGCTCACGAACCATGAGCTCATTCGACTTCTTTTCAAAAATGGTGGTAAAATTAAATCCATTTAAAAACGTATAATTTTAAAGCACATCGAAAGAACGGCCTGAGACCTTCATAAAAAGTCTTTTTTTATTCTCTTCTTTAATATTGTATTCCTAGGTAGCAGAGTTTTCAACTCTAGGAATTCGATAGTGAGAGATGGCAATTGGATTGCATTTTGCAAAAAGGGACCAGGAGCATTCCAGGGTCGCTAAGATTGTGCAACTTTCTTCACCCTGCAAATATAGACCGATCATCGATACAAGTTTTGCCTTTACTCTAAATAAACTATGAATTCAAGACGAAAATCACCTTTGTAAATCCGATTTTCGTTGTAATGGACCACTAGACAAGGTACGAATTTAAGCGATCTGATACATGTTCCTTAACCAGAATTTCATGTAGAACACGATTCACACAACGAAAATTACTGAAACCAACTCCTAACGAAGATATTAACGTTTTTATTTCACATTGGTTACGAGGAATTTGAACTGCCCGCTCACAAGAAACTCAAAGCTCTACGTTAGTCAAATCGCGCACTACAACGGTTTCAGCAAGCTTCTCGATCGAGCAATGTTCATTTCCCACCATGTATTTGTTCAAACTATCAGCAATGTGATATAGCTAAGCCAAAGCGTCAAGATTGAGGTTGCCAGATTTTTATATCGCAGAGACTGTCATGATATAACGTTCAGCGCACGATGTGAATTACGTAGTGCATTGAGTTTTCATGAGCGGGTGGTTTGAATTCACGCATCAAGAATCATTAAATATCTTCGTAAGGAGTTGATTTCGGTAATTTTCGTTGTGCGCATCGTGTTCTACGTTAAATTTTGGTGAAGAAACATGTATCAGAATGCTGAAATTCGTACCTTGTCTAGTGGTCCATTATAGTAATTTTATTGCAAAGCATGTATGTTGCACAATCCCAGCAACATTGGAATGCTCTTGGTTCCTTTTTGCAAAATGCAATCCAATTAAGTAGCTATTAAAAATTCAAAACAGGTTTTCAAAAATAGCCGTCTCATGATGATAAATTGCTAATAAATAGCTATTTCACTTTAAAAAATGGAACATGACCATTCATAGCAAGTTTGTATTTCTAATGTACATTAAAATTGCTATTCAGTAGAATTTTCAGAGCAATAAACAGACAATAAATTGACTAAAAATAGCTCACTTATCACTATCAATCTTGAAATTCTGCTACATGGGTTGGCTGATTTAGGCTCTGGAAAGAAAAGCTAGTGCCTACTCTCTGGAACTGCAACAAATTTCCTAAAAACTCCCTGTGGAGGGAAGGCCTTCTTCAGTCAGGCCTGGCCGAATGAACTTAAGGTCATATTATTCAACATTTTTACGAGCCAAAAGTGGTCGATCTTTTTGAAGAAAATATTATCATTTTAAAGTAATTTTTTTTTTAGAATGAATTTTATGTTTAAATGATCTTGGGAGCACTCACTTTTTGTGCGGTTGTTGGTTGGAGGAGTCTTCTCTTCTCACCAGATTAAAATTGAGTCTCCAGTAATCCTATCCGCCACTTCCGAAAACTGTGAAACTCAGGTGTCCCTAAATTCTCGTATAATGTGCACCTCCAAAAAACAGGCTCTAGGTGAACTGTCCAATTGAATGTAGAATTTAAGTTTTTCCTTTTAAGCGAAAAGAAATGAGAAGCATATCATTATTCCTCAATAAATATCTTCTTATGTAATTTGAGAGAGTTCATCTTTTCCTTGTGCGACACATATCCTCAAAAACTAGACCATTCTTTATCAATTTTTGTGAACTTGCATAAATTTGGTTTTGAGGTGCTTTTATTTTTGAAAACAGTTAGAAATTTATGAGTTTCCAACTATTGTTTTCTGTGTAGGTAGGTCAAGAACAAGGTCAGAGTCATTACAAACTGATACGAACTGAGCCATTGTGTTGTAAAATGCAGAGGACTTATCAATGTCTAATCTCCAATTTTACTGGAGAAACTGAACTTAAAAGTGACTCAGTGAATATGAGAATGCAATTAATGTCCAACATTCGTGTATTTCTTTGTATTGAGAGAAACAATCACAAATAAAAACAAATGAACTATAAAAAAACAACTTGAAACGGCGGAACTTATATCATAAACAACTTTGCTAACATAAAGTTGAACGTCCTTACCTATTAACCCGCTTGAAGTCAAAAATTCAAATTAAACGCACAATATTGGAAGGAAAAACATGTGCAGGACCAAGTGGAACAAGAAAAAATCATTTAATTTAGAGTGGGAGCCTGCAAGTACCTAATTAATACTTTAATTTCACTTGAAATAAACAGTTATCATTAACTGCATAGCTAAGAAGACATATCTTTCTTTCAATGGCAAGATTCTGAGAATTCAATGAGTGCTCATGCAATCGTTGGAATCTCTACCCAAAAGAATATTTGGACTTTACTTTGCAAAGTGGAAAACCAGGTGACTGAGTTATCTTTACTTGTACTGGAAATGTAAACTTGTTCATAATTTGTAATTAAATATTGTATTCTGCTCCAATTATTTTTCAAAGGTACAGAAATTAAGTATGTAAATAATTTGCAGTTGAATGATTTGTTGATAGAAACATTTACTGAATTTGAACGCAAATTTTCAGAAGTTGTTTTTAACTTCTGAAAATTAGAGGAAAATCGCATAGAGTTAGATTCTTTTTTAAGTTAAAATTGCGTGAAAGAAGAACGCTTCTCAGCATATAAGCGAGAACAGCGTTTTCTTTTTGAGTTTTGTTTTTTTGCAGAACAATTTTCAATGGTCACCGCTAGAGGGGAGCAATAGCGAAGAACAATGCTGATACAGGAACTTGATTTTCGTAATATTACTAAATTTTTGTCCACATACTCTTTCTCTAATTCCACTAGGTAAGGATAATGGACCATTAGACAACGTGTAAATTCAAGGATTATGATGTAGGTTTTTTCATCAAAATGTTACCTAGAACTTGATTTGTGAAACAAAAACTACTGGAAATACGACCCCCTAACTGAGATATTAATGTTAATAGATGCATAAATTCAACCTTCTGGCTAAGGAAAAAACCATTATCTAGGTACTTGGGTTAATTAGCACATGGAACGGCACAGCAACAGTCTCTGCAATATGAGGATACGGCAACCTCAATCTCGACGCTGTGGCTCAGCTGATCCACACTGTTTACTCTTGGAACGACTCAAGGCAGGAAAGGAAACTTGATTAAGAAGCCTGCCAATACCTTTGAAGTGAGCAATTCGATTAACATAGACTCAGGCTTTTCTTGTGAGTAGGAAATAGAATACAAATTTGTTGGGAAATAAAAACGTTACCTATTATCTTAGTTAATGTCAGTTTTTGTTGTGCAAATCGTGTTCTTCTTGAAATTCTGGAGAGACATACATTAAAATACTTAAATTGTACCTTGTTTCAAATTGGTCCATCAGTCACTTCACTTACATACTAATAACCATGCTGAGCATATTGATGGCCAAAGAGTGCAAAACTATGTATCTCCATTTGGTTTGTCAAAATTTCTGCTCCTATTTTATTTTCTTGAAGAAAATCAAGCCAACTTCATAGCTTGAAATGTTTATCGAATATTCTGTCACTAACGAGGATTATCAAGGCAGCTTTCAAGAAATTATGTTGACTAGTTTTGAGGTATGACAGGAAGTCTGCAATGTAGCAAACGGAGATACACATAGTTTTGCAATTTAGCCATCGATACTCTAAAATCGGCTACCTATCAGTCAGTTAAACTTGGCTTCAAAATCTATCACAGTCAGCAGAGCTTTTCATCTTCTATCAAAATTCCATGTGATCACAATGGCGTCGTCTAAAAATGGGTAAGAAATAGTGCTGTAGCTGGAGGATCATTCGGGAGAGGAGACCTCCACTATTCTCCAACGAGGTCTCATCCGGAGGTCGCTCACTCCTGAATAGATTTATAAGTGTAATAAGGTCCTTATTGCTAGTGTAATTCAGGATCTTTTCTTTAACATCATCAGGTAACATACAATACTTGTTGAAGAGTATTCCGCATGTTATCATCCCTGTCTCCAACAGTTCCTTGCGCAGAGTGCCCTTCTGGAACTGGTATCGCACTGCATCACCATAGATTGGAAACCTGAAAATAGGGAAGAGTATTGAGTGCTAATGTAATCAGTTTTTTCAGCTTTAATGCAACAAAGCTAGTACCGATTTAAATTTGAGACTCTGAAGCTTCAAAACTAGTGAAAATTGAGTTGTATTTGTGACAAAACTTAGCAATACATATGCATTAGTTACAATTTTATTTGGTTGCTGGTAATATCAGGGTGTCTATAATTCCATCACTTTCCAATGCCCCGACTTTCCTTGACTTTTTTCGATATTCCCTGACTCCAAAATTTCCGAATTTTCCCTGACCTTTGAACAAAATTTCCACCAAGAGTCTTTTTCTTTTCATTACAATGAATTATTTGCTAAACTTTGGATGAAATTTCCAGTTCTAGAGATTCAAATAACAGAGGAAGGCACTCGAAAGTTGTTTGCATTCTTTCAAATGTGCACCAGACTGTGTGTTTCTTGGCACCAGAAGTCTTTTGAGGTTGCAAAATAGGTATTATAACCACTAAAAAGGCAAAATGATTTTAGTTTTCAACGGCTCATTTTCGTTGCAAGTAAGGAAGAATTAAAAAAAACTGGTTGTATTATGACGATCCTGTTAAGCTAAGGAAGAACAAATGAAAATTCGGATTTTGCCAAATTTTCTTCTAAAAAAATCTTTATAATTGAGGAGCTTTGTATTTTTCTTTAAAATTTTCAGGTGTGTGAGAATAATTAAAGAAAAGAGACGTAAAATTTCTTAAAATTAGGTTTTTCCTCGGACAATTTTCATTTTTCTAGAACCTGGTCAAATGCCTATAACTGATATTAGGGTATTGTAGTGCAATTTGTTTTTCATTGCAATGTACAGGGGTATTCAAACCACAGGTCATAACTTTAGTTCTAATTATGATATCGATTTGTGGTTTAAGACATCTTTTCTCATATCAAGAAGGAAATTTTTTTAGGTACTTTCCAGCTTTTTATCCCCTCAGGGGGAGGGGGCGGGGAGGAACTCAAAAATTTCAAATGGCCACCCTCCTCATGGCCAGTGGTGTGTGACTTTTGCATAACCCTGTATAAAGTTCAATTAATTTGAAACAACTTAAGGGCGTTCCTGGTTGGTAACTCGCGTGAAAATAAGCTTTTAAAAAAGATGAATACCTGTGCTTGAAATGGTATGAGTTGAGGATTTGGACAATATCATGGTTGCGGACATATGCTGCGATGCGAGATTGGTTGCCCATTAGCACATCGTGAAAGGTTACACTTGTATCACCTATAGGCTCCGACTGCATGGCTTTCAACTCTTCCTGGCACTCATTTATGCTCAGCTCTTTGCTCTTCCATACTGGTTGTCGCTTTTCATCAAACCACAGATCGGCAGCATTTGATTTTATTGCATGCTTTGCAAATACCTATACAACAAAAAATAAACCGATGAATCAGAAACATAGATGATAAAAAAATTCTGAATGTTTGATTCGACCATAAATTGAGCGATGCTTTAAAAATTAAATTTGAAACTATTTCCTCAAACTTTTAAATTTTATGACATTTATTTGGCTCAAAAATCAAATACAGGAAGGCTTGGGCCTAGTATAGTTTTGGCTTTTTTAAGCAGGAAGTGGCTTCATAATTTTTTTTTTTTTTTTTTTTTTTTTTTTTNCTGGTGAGTCATTCTTTGGGTCTTTTTCGATGTCTTTACAAAGCGGGCAATAGGGATCTTCTCTTCGTTTAAAACGATGTAGGTATTCTGCGAAAGCACCATGGCCAGAGAGGAATTGTGTTACATAAAAGTCGGGATTCCCGTGTCTTCTATTAAGCCATAGATGAATTTCGGGTATGATTGTCTTTATCCACTTATTTGGAGATCTTTCCCATTCAAGGTTCCACATTGTCATTTTGTCTTTTTGAATTTCTATGATGTCTTCTTTGTTGTATTTCCGAGTCTTTTCTTTTATTAGTATTTCCTCTGATGGAATTCCGGATATGATGTTAAGGCAAAAATCTGAGGTTGTTCTGTATGCACAACAAAGAGAGATTTTCAGTGGTCTTATTGTTTTCCTGATAGTTTCTCTGTTCTTTTTCAGGTTGCAATCTGTTGCCCACGTGATAATACCATAAAAGATTATGGATAGTACCGCATGGACAAGCAGTTTTCTTTTGATAAATGTGGGGCCGTTAAGATTTGGCATCAATGGGCGGAAGTTAGTTGCCACTTTCTTTGCCTTTTCGCAGACTGCACTAATGTGTTCGGTCATCCTGACCGCCCTTGTGATTTTGAAACCAAGGGAAGTCAGGGATGACCGAGCAGTGATTTGTGCTTCTCCTATCTTCAGTGTAACATCTTTTGCTCTTCTTGGACCATGTAGTAAGATGGCTTCTGTTTTGCTGTCTTCGGTGAATAAATCTTTATTTTCTAATCTCTGTTTAATTTGTTTCGTAATTTTTTCGGTTTTAGATTGAAGATCTTGCTCGTCGAATCCTTCTATTATAAGTAGTGTATCGTCGGCGTACGCTTGTTTAAGACATTCAGGTGTTGTGTTTAGACTAAGTATTTCATCGAATATGAGCAGCCAGATAGTAGGGGAAAGACAGCCTCCTTGCGCTGCACCAGAATTTAGTTTAATCATAAAGTCAGGGAATACTAGGAATCTATCTGTCAAATATGCCTTCATTATTTCGATAAGGTACGCTGGTATTTTCCTTCTGTACATGGTTTCTATTATATCATCCCATCTGACTGCGTTAAATGCATTTTTGATATCTAAATTTAATAGCAATAGAAGTCGTCTTTGTGTGTTGTTGTTTTTCACATGATGATCGTATATCTTTTTGATTCTGAGAATTGCGTCGCTGGTGTTCTTTCCCTTTCTGAAGCCGAATTGTGCGGAGTTTGGTGTAAAGGATTCAGTTAATCTCTTGTTCAGGATGAATTCATAAATTTTAGACATTGAATTAATCATACAGATAGGTCGATAAGCTTTAGGGGAATTATTCTTTTTTGTTGGTTTTGGAAGTAGTGCGAGTCGAGCTGTTTTCCAATTATTTGGAAAATCACAGTTTTTTAGGATACAGTTCATCATTTCTTTGTAGGGCTTGAAATTGGTGTTAATAAACATTTTACTGAGAACAGGTATGATATTATCTGGTCCTGGGGCCTTGTAATTCTTCTGCCTTCTCAGGGCCATATGTAGTTCTTCGTCTGTGATCGAGGGTATATCATCTTCAGGAATCGGTGTTCTTTTCCATTGTGTGTATCCGTGATCTGGGAATAATTTATCGATGGTTTCAAGTAACTCTTGTTTTGTTAGCGAGTTGTTATCGTAAGTTGTTGGTCGTTTCAATTTATTTTTAAATATTTTATATGCTTTCCCCCATACGTCTCTATCTAAGTCTTTAATTATTTCATTCCATTTCTCATGCTTTGATTTATTGATTTTATATTTCAGTTCCTTTTTGAGTTCTTGAAAATTTTGGTGATCTTCTGCTGAGTTCTTTATTCCTTTTTGTTTTCTTGTAATCTTTCTTTGTGCTTTAATGCATTTTTTCTTGATTTGCTTTATTTCTTGATTCCACCAATAAGGTAAGGATTTTGATGTGTCTGAGTTCTTGATTTTAAAGGTTTTGTTTGCGGCCTCGATAATTATTTTTTCACAAAGTATTGGGGAAAGATTAGTATTTTTAAGATAATTAGTTGTGATTTCTTTAACTGCTTTTGAGAAATCTGTATATTTTGTTGGATCAAGTATCCAGTTATTGATTGTTTGACTTTTATTGCTATTATTTTTAAATTGAGAGTTATATTCTAGTATTAGGCCTCTATGGTCACTTAAATTTATCTCATCTATTACTTTAACTTTTAATTTTGGTTCTGTTTCTGGAGTGGCTTCATAATTGGGAGAGGGGGCTTTGAAGACAAGGAGGATATAAAAACAAATTTTGGAAATATTGAGTTATTAATGATTTCAACTAGGTAGGTACAATTACCGGTCTTAAAAGATATTCTGAGAAAAATTCACCACTCAGATCCAACTTTTAAGCATCAAAAATGAGTTTGAACTATCTTTCTGTCATGAGGCTCCTTGTAATTTTTAAACTTTGAACACTAATTTCTTTAAATAGCAAAAACTGCACTTAAGTATACCTACACCTTGTGCTCCAAAGTCCCTCAATTTATACATTTTTTCAATGATCATTCCCACAACAAAAGAGATTAATAATATTGAAGTAGGTAATTCATTTTTAATAACTTTATTAGGTATAACGTGCATGAAAGACGCAGGGCCGGATTTACCTACTTGCCGATCATGGACCACCTGTATTTTGCTGCCCCCTTCTCATTCGTTTTGAAACATCAATAAAAACCATAAAGTGAACGTGCCGGAGGGGGAGGGGTGCATAAGACGCGTTTACTCGTGTTAGACACATTTTATTGCGAAAGCACTGTCGACACTACTAGCAAAAGTTCACGGAACTTAGCGCAAAAGTTAAGTTCCGTAAACCTATCACTGTGTGGACAAGGCCTTCCATTTATAAGAAATGAACGAAAAAATTATGAAAGAACAAACATAAATGTGGTTTAATAATTTTAACCCTCTATGGCATGAATTAATTTTGGATCTATTCTAAGGAAAATTAATCTATTTTGTAGCTTGCATAAAAAAGAGTACCAAATTTGTTTTTTTCAAAATTTTAATGTCAAGGGAATCAATTTTTCAAAAAAAGAAAAAACTAATGAAATTTCGCAAAATCATAGCACAGGGAAAGATTTTTAAAAACCCCGAAATACGTTGTCACGAATTCGAAACGCTATGCCATTGATGGTTAACTGCCGCCGCTGCGCCGCGCTGACCAATGAAGTAGAGTAAAGAATTCGTACAGTCTTGTGGGAGCTATGCGTTTCACGCCAACCGCTGGCTGATGACCGCACTGTGTTTGACGCATGACGCAATGCGTGAAGTATTCACGCGGTCTTGCAGGCGCTAATATGTGTTACGTGCCGACCGCCTTTTCTTTTCCTTTTCATCTCAAGTCCTTGTCATCATTGCTCTCTGCGCCGCGCTGCTCCAGGCAAAATTTTGGTTTGGTTTCTCTCTTAACTCGACTAATAAAAGGTGCTGTCTCTTGTATCACTGAAAGACGATAAATTATAAATTACTATACTCTCAGGAAATGAGAGATTTTGACGCCTCTTTTCGTTTGTAATTTTTTTTCTGAATCCGATTTTTTTTATACCTACATTTAAAAAAATTGCAAAATTTTCCGCCCTCGCCTAAAGCCTTCATGGTCCCATGTGGCCACCCCCTAAATTCGGCCCTGTAAAAGAGAAAGGAAGGGATTTTGGCAACTGAATGGGTAAGTTTTCTCTGAGTAAGGCTGTATGACCCAAGTAGCATTTCTCAACGGAAAAATCGCTATATATTGCGATTTTATCGGCGATAAAATCGCCAGGATCATCAACATCTGAACGATTATCCTCGATCTTATCGCGATAAAATCGTGCTTTTATCGCCGGACAATTTATCGCGATATTTTCGAAATAAAACTCGCGATAAATGGCGATTTAATCTCGATTTCATCGACGAAAATTAATCACGATTTTATCGAGGCAAATATTGCGATTTGTAGCGATTTAATCGCCAAACATCGCAATTTTTAATGCGAAAATATCTCGATATATTACCACCGATACAATCGCGTTAACCAACCGATAGAATACCTATTTATCGCGATCACGGCTGCTTGGGGAGAGGCATTAAAACAATGCAAAGATGGCATGGATAAAAAACTGAAAGGGAATTTCAAAATTAAACGTCGATAGGTAGTACAGTTCAAGGAGCAGTGAAAATAGTTCGGAAAACCAAGTTTAGGTATCTCTTACAACAGCTCGATCATTTTGCTCTCGAAGCTTCGGTTGCATCCAGGTGATTGTTTTTCTGCAGAACCACTCCTCTAAATGGTTTAAGGGAACTTCTCAAAATTTTTAAGAGCAGTTCCAAGCCTCCTAATACCTACGCAAGGGTGCACGGAAAGAGGAGATCTGCCCGCTTGAAAGTGACCGCATTTCAGGAAACGGCGACTAGAACTAGACTTCGTTTAGCAATTAGGAACCACGATTCCCGGCTCTTCCGTAGGAACACTATGAACACAGGGAAACACTAATGGAACATACGTTGTTTCCAAATTGAGCCAGAAAAAGTGGTTCCTTGCTGCAAAATTTAGTTCAATTCGTTGGCAGAGACGCGGTGGTTAAGCAGGAACCAGCTTTGTGGTTCTGCAAAACTGAAATGGACGTATATTCGTGCTAAAGGAAACTATGTTGCGTGCAAGCGGGTGCAAGCCCACAATGCACGTAGTTCCTTTCAGCATATTAATACGTCCCAGTTTTCAATAGCTTGTTTTACAAATGGACTACCTACATTTTGCAATAGGGAACTACTATTTCTGGATCATCTATGAAAACATATCTTTATCTTCTATAGGCACTGTATCTATATGTATACTATAAGCTTCGAGACCTCCTAAATTAGCGTATCTGGTAACGTCTAGTTCCAGCGTTCTACCGCACAGTGTGTCAAAACCCCAATCTAGCTGCTCAAAACCCCCCTTATATGAAGTCAACAAATGGTGTTATTTATGGTCAGAGTGGGTCCACAGGCACCCACTGGTTACGTATCTATCATGGTTATCACAAAAATAAATTTTTTGGTCGCTTAAATGATAGGGATTGCAGCCGGTAAACCTCCAACCTCAATCTCGCCATCAGGAGTGGTGCCACTGTATTGCTTTTTTTTAGAGTACTTCGTGGCGAAAAAGGGTCATTTCTGGATGAAACGAGATGCCAAAGGCCAGAGAAAGGAAATATGACCGTTGATTTCTCCAAAATCATTATTTAAGTATTATAATTGCTCATTGAAAACAGTGCCCAAGACTGTTTACTTTTCCTGGCTTTAATAGAGCCGCAAAAGCGCGGAACTACACGGAACACCATGAAACTTATATGAGAGTGTTCAGAAAACTATCTTAGATTTGAAATGTCTTTAGTTTTACTGCTACCTTCCGCAACCTTGAGAATAAGAGCACATTTTGTTCGGCGATTCCTAGTGTAAAAGCGAGCGGGCGGCGTTTTGCGATCTCCCCCTACAGGCTGTCACAGATGAAGTGAGACGGAGGCAGCATCCCACCACGCGCGCTCGGTCCCCTGATTTGAGTGAGCCTTATCATGAGGCTTTTCACCATATCAGATAAGATCGTGTGGTGGCTCAGTTGATTGCTTCTTTCATTATTACTTGCATGATCGGGGTTCAAATCCCGAGTAGATCAATTTTTTGAAATTTTATTTTCTATTTCATTACGATTTTCCCATTATCTATACTGTCATGGAAGGGGGAGGAGGGTCCTCATAAATACAAAGTTGCATCGTATTTTTAACAAGTTTCTTGTATGATTTGAAACAGACTTTCTTATTTATTTCCAATGAGGAAAGGTTTCGGGCATGGTTTATGAAACGTAGGAAAATGAAAGGGGGGGGGGGGGGCTCGCCGAAATTTTCCTTTACTGGCAAACATTTTGAAAATATTATCTTTGACTTATCACTTAGAGTTGCCGAAACGTATCATTTTAATAATATGGAATTCATATTTCTTTGGATGGCCAAATGAGGAATTCGCCATTTTGAAGTGGAATGCATAAGCCCAAGACATCCTCCAGGACTTACTTTGGATCGGAAAACACAATTTGACTAATTTTTGGGGTTCATCAGGTCACATAAGGCGCTTAAAACTTAGTTGGAATTTTACGATTTTTACATGATTTGAACAGGATTTTTAGATGGCCGCCATTTTGAAAATTTTGATGACTAAGTTTTGAAATTTTAGGTGAACCTTTTTCAAGCTTACACTAATGCCTGTGCGAAAATTGGTGGTTATCCGACCAAATTTAGAGACGTGAAGAGGTTTTGAGCAGCTAGATTGGGGTTTTGACACACTGTGTACCGGGCCGATTTTCATGATTTTTGCGGCTTTCGACGGGCAACTGTATCTTGATGAGCCCGCTTTATTCAGATTTTGAAAAAAAGACCCAGGTTTTTTTTATTTACGTGGTAAAGTAGCGAATTCTCCCATTTAAACAATGTAAATTTTTAGTTTTGTCATAATTCGTTTGAGCGTTCTACTGAGCCAATTTCCATGATTTTTGCGGTTATCGACAGGTGAGGGCCCTTAGATGGGCCCGCAGTAATCAGAATTTGAAAATAGGACCCAGGTTTTTTTACCTATATTAGAGGAGACCAGAAAACATAGAAAGGGGGGGGGGGTTGAAATTTCCGCCAATGAAAAATAACGTGAATTTCAAATTTAGCGGAAAATTGAAGTAAGCGGGAATTGTTAAATCTTGGTCTGTTAGTAGGGGAAGTGAATCGAAAGGTTTGTTCTTTTGCTACTGACTATTCAAAAGGGGCGAAACGCTCCGCTCCGTTCCGTTCCGTTTTAGTCTTGGCGTGAAGTTTGAAATAAGTGCCGCTTTTTTCATTCGATTCTTATTGGCCCAATTGCTCCCGGCCAGAGGGAGATTGAATAGTGAGAGTCGGGTATGAAAATCTTTTCATTTTTTTTTGTCGTTCTTTTGTCGATGCGGGCCTCAGAGAACGCGAAGTGCCCTCTGGAGGTTGGGCCGCGTAGCGGCCGGGGGGCATAGCCCCTTAGTATTCGAATAGATAGACTAAGGGCACATTAGTTGTTGAATGAGTTAGAAACAGTAGTTCCTTATTGCAAAACGTAGTTCGACTGGGAATCTCACGATCACCGCGTATCGGTTAACGACTGCTTATGGAGACCTATGCGCCGTTTCCCCAAAACGATCGCTCCGATGGCAAAACAAGGTATTCTTTCAACAGCCAAAGAGCAGTTTTCCGACTTTCTCACAAACTCTGGTTCCTTTTAAAATAATGCCATCCATTTACCTACTGATTCTAAAATGAGCTGAAAAAATGATTTGTAATTGTAAAATGTAGTCCGTGGATAGAGAGCATGAACCCTACGCTCTCAACAGCGAGTCGATAGAATCAGGTCAGTCCGATGATAAGATGTTCTTTGGAATTTCCCGATCCGCCGAATTATTCCCCTGATTTGCTGTTTCACTACTTTCAAATTATTTCCCCAAATTATGCGCTGCTATGTTGCATAGCCCCCCCCCCCTCCCATCAGCATAAAAACGATGTAATCGTGGGGAACAGCAGAGTGGGATAAGTAAATTGGGGGAATCTCTTGACAACACGCACAGCCCTCTCCACTGTTGTCCAAAGATAATGACACTCAACTTTCCTAACGATGTGACTTGCGGCAATCTAGAGTACCTGTTTAGGGAGAGTATGGTCACTGCGGTTACAACCTCTAATTATTATTTAGATATCTATTCTAGCTATCTTAGGCTGAATAGGGGCCTTCTATGGCCCAAAAATGGCGGGCGCAGTAAGTAGATATAAGGAAAAACAAAATGACTCAAAATGTAGTTTTACTTACGTATCGCAACAAAACTTTACTCAAATGCATGATTACCATGTATTTACGTAGTTTTACGGCCAACCGTGTGCTACTTTCGAGAAAATCCATCTTAGATATAGTAAGGTTGGCAGCAAGTGCGGATGGTGATAACCGTCAAAATTGGCAATGGTCCTTCTATCCTCATAAAGCGACACAAATTGCCGCCATTTTTGAGCCCTAAGCCCTCCATGGGGCCCACCCAGTGTCCATACTCTCCCTTTGAAGGTACTCCAGGTCTATCAACCTGATTAAAAGTGCCTACCTCTATAGTGCCGAAGTAGAGATCGTTCTGGCGGCGAACTCGGGCCCCCTCAACGTCCATCAACTTGAGGAGCCTGTGGCGGAATGAGAGCTCGAGGGCACCGTGTGGGGCGTCCGCCTGGTAGACGAAGCTCACGAAGCTCGGATCCGTGAAATTGTACTCGAGGAGGGTGCGCAGGCACTTGAAGTTGCTCTTGCCGGCCGCCTCATGGAGGGCCGTCTTCCAGCTGGGGTCCTTGATGTCGACACGGGCCCCGAACTTGAGGAGCGCCTCTACGACGCTAGTCTCCCCCTTCAGCGCAGCGTCGAAGAGGGGCGTCCGCCCCGTGTCGCATACGGCGTCCACGTTTGCGCCGGAGAGGAGAAGGAACTCAGTTACCTCGGCGAACCCGTTGGCGGCCGCCTCGTGGAGGGCCGTGCGGCGGTCCTCGCTGCGGGCGTCGACATCGGCCCCATGACCCAGCGCGAACTCGACCAAGTTACCGTGTCCGCGTCGTGCCGCCGTGAAGAGGAGCGTTGGGTCCCTGATCGTGGCTTCCGTGATAGCCGGCGAGTTCGCTAGGAGGGTCTTGATGATCTCCAGCCAGCCCTCCTCAGCCGCCCTCAGGAACAGCTCGTGATCGTCGACGTCGTGTACATTGGAGGCAACGAACGCCTTAAGTGCGTTTAGATTAACGCACTCGAATGCGTCCTCGACCGGGGTTTTTCCGCGCCCGCACCTGGCTCTAGGATCCGCGCCGGCACTCAGCAACAGCGACACCATCTCTTCGGATGAATATCGAGCCGCCGTGTGAAGCGGTGTCGCCGAAAAGAACCCGCTGCCGAGCAACTCGTTGATCTGTGTCCCATGCTCGAGCAACCGCAGCACGATCGGCTTCGAGTTCTTGCGGATGGCGCCGAGCAGCAGCTCCGCGTTTCCCACGTCATCCTTATCCACCATGAACGCTTTATCTAGCAGCTGCCTTACAATGTTGTCGTACTCGCCGTCGTCTTGACACACGGCCATGCGGAACGCCCGCTTGTTGTTGACGTTATCGACGGAGGGGGCGAACTTGAGAACGCACTCTACGATGGCGCCCGAGCCCTGCTCAATAGCCAACTGCAAGACGGTGATGCCGAAGAAAGCCGTAGCGTTGACGTCGGCCCCGCTCTCTAGGAGGAGCTGCACCATCTCGCCGTTGCGCTTCTCAACGGCGATATGGAGGGGAGTAGCGCCGCCCAAACAGGAGCTCGAGAGTGCGGTGGCGTTAACCATGGCGCCCTTTGCCAGAAGGAGACGAACCACATCCTCGTTCCCGTTCTCCACGGCTAGGTGGAGTGGAGTCGAGCCGTCCTTCATCCTACCGTTCGGATCGGCACCTGCGTCGAGGAGAGCTTGGACGACGGGCAGGAAGCCCTTTTGAGCCGCGACGTGGAGAGCAGTCGAACCGTCGTTACGGAGCGTCGCGATGTTGGCGCCGCGGGTGAGAAGCAGTCGAACTAGAGTCTCGTTGCCCCGCTCTATAGCTAAATGAAGGAATGTTCCGCCTTTGACGTGTCTATACCGAATGTCCGGCCTCAGGGAGAGTATATGGTCGATTAAAGTCCGGTGTTCTTCGATTAGGGCCGTCTGGACATGGTTGATGTGGAATTTAGCCTCGTAGTGGACGACGGCACGACTACCTAGCAGGACAGGGACGATGTCGTTGTTGAATCGTTCTGCGTAGATGAACTTGGAGCCAGCGACGGCTTCCTGGTCGACGATCAGCTCGACGATCTCCACCCGATCTTCGTCGATTGCTTGATCCAGGACCGGGTACGTTTCATCCTTGCAGAGAACCTGGAGGGGTTTGCCGACTAAAGAAAGGAAGTCTTCCGAGATGACTGCCTTGAGCGCTTCCGGATACAGCGCGAAGCCTGTCGCTTGAGGCTGATGAGATTGCGAATCATACGGTGTTCCCTGGTAGACGACGAAGATCAGGCACTGGTGTTTGCGCTGGTCGCACGCCATTGGGCTGAAACAAAGTTAGAAAGGAAGGAAGGATGAGTGAGCTTGAAGAAATAAAATCAACAAAACTAGAATATTGTTGATATTTCCAAACCTCGACGCCTAATTTGCCTCTAGTTACGAGGAGACATTTACTGGGGACATTTTACTTTTCTTCGGAGCTCAGAAACAAATGTATACCGATGGCTGAGGTGCAAAACCACGTACAAGCGTTTGCGACGTTCTTCAAATAAATAGAATATGAGCAGAGATTTTAAAACACCACGAAGGAAATATGTGGTTTCGCACTGATCTACTTTTAGTGAATCGAATAATATTCCGCTGTGATAGAAGGTGACATTCGTCCTTGTTTCCTAACTTATGAGAGGCTTATAATTATTTAGCAGAGACACCCTATGACTCATCTGAGAAAGCGGGAAATAGTTCTACCTTTTCAGTGGCGAAGCTACCTGAGATAGTCCAACGAGGCGCATTTGGAGGAAACGGCGCAAGAGTGCACTTTTTGCTATTTCGGGATTACTTTGATCTGTGTGGCAGATAGAAAGTTCAAGCCGACTATTTGATGTTTAAAAAAAAACCCCTTCACAATTCAGGTGATCTATAGGATTTTCCGTTGTTTCTTACAACTCGTTATGCAGATAAATCCGTTCTGCTAATAGTGTTGTACAATTTTAGGACAAGGAAGGTAGACGATTTCGCGTTCACCATCTCAATCTCTTGAGAGACTTGAACGGGGATAAGAAAGTAAGCGATCAAGATAGGCTCCCAAATTTTCACACCCCCCCCCCTCTCACTCTATGCGATAAAAAGAATCGATCAAAAGCTGCGTCGGTGGTGGGTTCTCAAGAAAAGAGCGAGATAGAATTCCCTGCAAAATGCAAGCGTGAACAGGGAATTCGTGCGTATTGTAAATCTTAGATGGGATTAAACGATTAGGCTTTGGGTGTAAGCTCGACACTCGATTCCTTCTCACTGAGTGCTAATAGTGTATGACGTCACGATTAAATCAATCCCAGCGATTAGATACGACGTTTTAGAAAGCAAAACTATGCTCGAGGCTCAAAACAATCTGAATCGGTAACTACTTAAATTTTCCGCACGTGCGTATAGTGCCTCATAATTTTGAAGGCGACTTGTTGAACCGCGACACGACGGCACACAGTGGATCGAATCAATCAGAGAGGTCGGACATGATATTTTAGACTAAAACTGGAAATTTTCATGTTTGTTTCGTCAATTTTCAAACTGCAAGGAGTGCCTCTCGAAGAAAAGTTCACGAGAAAACCAATAGAACCACTTTCAGAATCTCCAAGTTTTGTATAAACGGAGATATAAGCGTTTAAAGTTTCCAAATTTAGTCCGACCTCTTCTATTGACTCGATCAACTGTGCGGCAGAGTGATTGTTGATCTTTGCTCTCCTGCATCGTGTATGTACACATTTTGCGTGTTGCGTGCAAGGTAGATTTACACAGGTATGGACAAGTTGAAAATTTCCCATGAGCCTCAGTACGTGTCACATGACTATGTGACGTAGGTTAAGGGGCCCGTTTTTTAATTAAATTACAATCAAATTAACATTCAAACGTTTGTGCGCTTAAACGTTAAAATGAATATCGCATTATCAAAATTGTGCAAAAAATCATACGAACGATCAATCGAACGATAAACCGAACATAATAAATCAAAATAATCAAAACATACAAAATGGCGGAAGTTAAGGGGCCGTTGGAGAGCCAATCAGAGGCCAGTTGTTTAGTTCTGTCCATACCTGTGTAAATCTACCTTGTGTTGCGTGAGACTCTCTTAGCTGATGAGAGAAACTAAAACATCAAATCTCTCCTGTTTGATAAACATAGATAGAATTAGGAGTTGATCATTGATTAAAGCCTCTTTCCAAGCCATTTCTTTGATACATTGTTCTCGTTGGTCACTCAATCCCAAGATACATTCATATTTTTCAGCAAATTTTTGGTTGAAAGGTTTGGTAAGTTGGTAAATGAGCGGTTTTGGTAAATAATCGTGCACTTTTTCGTTTCTTACTTTTTTTTCTGCATGAAATAAGAACCCTCCTAAAGCCTTTTCGGTCAAGAAGCACCCAGCTCGCATCGACGAAGTCATTAAACCAATAACGTGATTATGGTCAGATTTTTTAGAATTTCTTGACTTTTTACGGTTCTTGACAAACAGAGTGTCTACTCAGTTTATCCTGACTTTAAAGGGGAAAGATTATGCACATGAAAAAACTTTCCTCAAGACGCGTTTAGCGTAGACCTAAGCGTCCATATATTTTCAACCAAACAATTAGAAGAGGCATTCTAGGTTTACTCCGAGCAAAATTTCTTGACTTTTTAAGGCCAAGTAATATTTACTGACATTTCATGAACTTGTCACGCTATTTGATACAACAGGGCCAATTGGATTACATATATGAGAAATAAGTGTATAGCATGAACCGCACAGGTTGTTTTTTCCATCCTCCATATTTAACCGACAGGACAAGGCCAGGTAAATGCTAAAGTTAAATGACATGGCAATACGTTAGGTTCCTTTGCTGGGTTTCCACTTTACTGCTACTTTGATTAAATCATTCAGTTCGAAAAAGTCCTATCTCAGATGGGAGAAAATGAGAAAAAAATTAGTTAGATCCGATATTTTTTTAATAATTTGCAAATATTTTTGATGCACCCACCCAGGTAAGCTATCATGAAAAACAGACAGGCAGGGGCACCAATGGTTTTGCTCTTTTAGGAGATACACGATATTGAAAGCTGCAGAGATGGATCTTTTCCGAACTCAACTTTGGGAGGGGAGGGGGGGGGGAATTGGCCTACGGTTAAAGGTCATAAAAATAAAATTAAAATTGCGCAGAACTCAATAAAAATCAATTTTTCGGCGAAACGAATTCAAAAATTTTTTCGAGTTGGGTCGTGTTTGAGCTTAAGTACGTATTCACTTCTTTTAAGGCTGAAATGTTTTTCAGCAAAGGAAATGAAAAGATGACGGAACTGGTAGAGTACTCAAAAATTTTATTCAATAAAAAAAAATAACAGAAGCTTTCGGCCGAAGCTTCAAGCAAAATGTACATTAGGTACAGGTAAGGATTTTTTACATACCAATGCTCAAATTGAAATACTTGAGAGTAAATTTTTACAAGAAACTCTAAAAAACTCTTAAAAATATTGACAATTAGAGCCGAATAGCACTAAAAATTGAAACATTGATGGATTCCACGCAATGCCCGAACACAAGGCTCTGATTAAAACCGAGCCCGTTCCAGATCAAAATAAACCTAAAATCTTTTCTTCCATTTTTTTTCCAATTTGGATTTTAAAATATCTTACTAATTTTAGGCAACATCTGAGAATTGGTATACATGTTTCCAGTTTAAAAAGAAAAGGAGAAACAAGTCAATATCGCTGGAAAAACATAAAATCTAAGATTTTGTACGTTTTTCAGTAAGGCTGAGCAAGAGAAACCTGAACATTTCGCGAATACCATGTGAATTTCATTCATCGATCTGCATCCAGCGTTAATAAAAATATGGAAGCTATACAGTCATTGGCGACATTGCGGTATTCGTAATTCGTTATTCAAAAATGTAGTTCAAATTTCTTTCTTCACTTTTAAATCATACATAATCGACAGTATCCCAGTCTCAAGAGGAGTGCAAAATCCGAAACAATGGCTAAACTGCCGTGCTAAGGAAGAACGCCGAATGAACATTCGAGAGTTGTCAAATTTCTCTAGATAAAACGTGTATTTTTGACGACCTTCATGCACCTATTTTTTTGAAATTTTTCAAATATTGTAGATTAAATTACGTACAAAATTGTTTGAAATTTTTGGGGGGAAAATATTCACAATTTTCCTGGTAAATTCGGTTTTTATAGAAGGACACTTGGCAACGTCTGAAGGCTCATACGGCGTTCTTCCTTAGGACGGCAGTAAAGTACCTAAGACTGCGATGCGTCCCTAATTTTTTTACAGATAAATGAAAGAAAATGAGGGGAGGAAGGCAAAGCAAGAGGATCTATAAATAGCAAAAATTATAAATGTCCTCCATGAAGACAAAACACTAAAATTAAAAATTAACTTTGGATTTCTTAATTTACTCTGAATTATAATCGGAAGCTTGCACCCATTTCGCCCTCAAATGGCCAACTAAATTCCTTCAATTGAGATATAGGACAGTGCCCGAATAAATCACTCACAATCAATTGGTTTTTTTTTGTGGGGTTTTTTCGCTTTCGTTTTCATTTATCAGTAAACGCGTCCTGGATGAAAAGAAAATTACTTCAGAGACGTGGCGTGATTTGGTACATATCGAATGATCTGCCATTTAAACCTATGGGAAATAATCGATAAACAGGGTGTTTGCAACGAACACCTATAAATAATCGATTCTTTATCATTGCTTCAAATGCGGAAATATCGATGATCGATCTTTCACGCTTCGCCACTGAATTATTGTCAGCGTCAAATGTTAAAGATAAAGAGAGACAATTTTCAGAAACAACGATCCGGTTACTCCCCCCTAAAATTATTGTGAGTGCATCACTGGTAGCACTAATAAAGACAAATTATGAAGAATTGTAAGAAAAGTCAAACAAATATTTTTTAATTTATACTGAGAAAATGAAGTTAGAATATTACGTATAGTGAAAAAATCAGTAAAAATTGAACTTAAAATAAAGAGATGATATTCTAAGTCATCGATTTATGAAGATAACTATTATCGATTGTGATTGATGAAGAAGCGTTTCAGCGTCCTAAATTTCCCAAGCAGCACAGTGCGATGAAACAACTGAACTCATAAATAGCGATTTAGTCCAATTAAATTGGAATGTTTTTCACACGAAATTGAAATACTTTTACATCCTTAGATCCATAAATGCTGATTTTGAACAATCAACAAATTGAGCATCATGTGTCAAAAATACAGGCAATTCGCAATGCTATGAAAAATTTCAACGAATTGCAAGTTTGTGGCAATACATTTCAATAAGAAGTTAAACCAATTAGTAGATATCGACGGTAAAACTACCAAACCACGTATCTCGTTTGCGGTGTTTAAAAATATACGCTCGTTTTTTATTTTTTTAAAGTAGACCAAATCAATATCATTCCTTGAAATTTTCACAGAATTTTCTCCGCACGACGAGGAAAAATCACAGAAATTTTCAAGACTGGACGATAAGTAGTTTTTCATTTAAAAAATAAAGTATGACAGGAAGTCTGCGACGTCGCAAACCGAGATACGTGGTTTGGTAGTTTCACCGTCGATATGCGCCATACACAACACGCCGACGCGGTAGCAATAATTATTCTACCATGTAATTGCAATTCATTGTAATCTGTGCTACTTGGGTCACAAAACGTTGAAAAAAAGAAGAAGGAAAGAGCTAAAAATATAAAATTATACGGCTTTGCATTTACAAGACTAACGACACTTGCTAATGCACATCACTAAAAAAGAAAACAGACAAAATAATAGAAGATGCGACTCCTATCATGAGCTAAAACCATCGAATTGAATTATAAATTAAAATTAGATGCTATGAAATCTGTTAAACGTCCGTCATGAACGACACTAAAGATTGGAAGGCCCCGTTTCCGGAATAATATTAACTTAGAATTAATCCCTTCCAGCAGTGACTGTGACAATTTGAAAAGAAGAAGGGGGCGGGCACTTTTGGATACCTACACCGGTTGTTTTTCAAAACTTTCCCAGGTATTTTACGTGTTGTTTCTCCATGTTTTATTCCAAAAAAGATGAGGTTATCTCCCCTTCGAATCTCATGCTAAGAACATGAGCTTTAGTGCAATAATACCATAAGAAATAATACAATTGACTTACAGAACACACGTAGTTTAATGACAGATACTGAAAAGACAAATACTGAACATAAGAGACTGAGAATATCTTGACTTCAAAGGGATGATAAAGTAGAAAATGTACGAAGTAAGGACAATCAAAACCCACTCAAGCTACCACTCTGATTCACACTGGAAAGATGGTAAAAAACAGCATTTCTATGGTAACGGTGACGCAACACGTGTGATTGAAAAAGCAGTGTTTAGTTAAAGCCTAAAAATTATTTGCATTGGTATGATGCGCAAAATAGGAGTCTATTAAAATTTCATTTTGGATTTTTCTGCTTTTCTTAATAGAATGTCCTTGTTGTTTTCGCGAATACTTTGACACTCGTTTGAATGTCCAAAACCGAGATATTCACTGAATAAAATGTTTGACTTTTGAGTGTGCTAAACTGCCTGTGGTTGGAAAATGCTTGACGTACTCGAAATCTCCTGATCCATGACCAATTTTTCTGATATTGCCCTGATTTTTCCTGGTGACATCAAATTTCCTGACGTTCAGCGAATTCCTGTCTTCCACAAGAGTAACGTGTCAAATGTTTTGGGATCAAATTATACAATTGCATGGGCTACACTGTCAGGATATGTGAACGTGCTGCAATAGAACTTCATCACATTTTCAAGGTCAAGCGTTGATGATAAGTTCAGATTAGTGTATGGACTGAATTTGGTCTGGATAATTTGATGATCCAATTTAGGAGTGTGAAAACTCCAGGTGCATGGACTATCAAGTGATTATAAATAACTAAAATATGAATTTTCTCTCTACACTGAAATTAATGGGGTACATGATTATGGTTTAAAGAATCCCTGACCTGATCAAAGCAAAAGAGCGGCGGTACTTACTTATTAAAAACGATCGATCTTCATGACCTGACAAAAGTCTGAGCTCTCGCAAATTTACAATCTTACAAATTTAAATTTTTTTCAGAGAATGATTTGAAATCATTTACGACATTTAATCTCTGAAGTATATTGTCCTTCTAAATGCAGAATTCTAAGAAAATAAAAAAAAATTCAGAGCGGATACCGTAAAAGGCCTAATAGGGAGCTAATACGTAGTTATAACAGGCTCCTAAATACGAACTCGGCAAGAAAAACTGTGCTTCAGGTACGGCACAGATCTACATTTGGTTGTCGTAAAGTCTTCTTCGCTTGTCTATAGTGTGGGCGATAACTATGACTTCAACTCTCGAAGTAATTGACGCCATTCAGTTAAGAGATACATACTTCATTGATCACCTGCAGCGACTTTCAAGGATTCCATAAGTCTTTTAATCTAAAAACTACATTTCCTTACAAAATATTTTCTGTCAGCGCCGCACCGGTTGAAGTCATTTACGGCGAGACCTTGTGGCGCGATCCTGCTGAAAGTCAGGCGCTCCTTTCATTTCGAGAGCACGTTTGTAATTTAAGGCATAAGTTAATGGAACCAGTGGGCTCAGCGCTGAGGAACTTGCTCCATTTTGAAATAAGACACATCCGTCCAATACCAGGAACACACCAACAACGGATCTGAACAACATCCATCTAGGAAAAAACTCTTTTTAAGCGCGAAGTATAGATCAAATGACCAAGGTCCTTATTACTCAGGTAGGTGAGGATCCGCTCTTTGACCTCATACGGCAGCGGCGAGTGCGCGTTGAACATCCAATCGCAGATGGGAACGCATCTGCTCAAGAAATCTTTCCTCAGCATGCCTTTTTCGAACTGGGACTTGAGATGATCTTCGTAGATGGGGAAGGTCGCACATAGGGTCGAGTTAAGTGCGTTGACTATGGACTCGTTCCTGGCGTAGCGTGCCAGCTGGTTCTCGTCTTGGACGAGGATGTCGTAGAAAGATACGAAGGTCTTGCCGATCGCCTTTGCCTTCATTTGTTCGATCTCAGCCCGGCACTCCTCGAGGAAGCCTCGCGAGTAGAGGCTCATATCACTCAAACTTTTGTCCACGAAGAAGAGTCCGGTGCCTTTCATCTTGAAGGCATGCCTCTCTAACTTTAAAATGCACACGCTGTGGCTCCGGGCGGTAAGGACAGCCTGATGGAAGTCCTGGGGGGTCCTGTTGGGGTCATGTCGCAAAGGAGGAGGAAGCGGGGGCACAACGCGTCGACGCTCTTGGATGAGGGTGACAACGTGCGGCGATGTGAGATAGTAATTGAGGAGAGTTTCCAAAGGCTTCTCGGACGGGCCGGTGGGGGAGCGCCCGCGGGTGGTGGAGTGGTTGAAGATGGTCTTGTGCTCGCGGTCACGATGGTCGATGCGGGCGTTGAACCTGCCGAGGATCCGGAGAGTGCCTAGTTCCCAGCGTTGCGCGGCGTAGAAGATGGGCGTGCGGCTCATATCGCACAAGCTCTCCACGTCGGCGCCGTTGCGGAGGAGGATCTCGACGACCTCCGCGGTCCCGTGGGCGCACGCCTCGTGAAGCGGCGTCCGGTTGAAGATTGACGTGACGTCGACCCGGGCGCCGTAGCGCAGGAGGTTTCTGACGACGCGCGCGTTCTTGGTGCAAATGAAGAGCGGTGTCTCTCCTTGGTTATTCCGGACGTTGGCATCGGCTCCGCGTTCCAGGAGCTTCTTCACGATATCCTCGAGCCCTTTTTGGCAGGCAGTGATTAAATAAGTCGGAATGTCGTGGATACTCGCGTTGTACGCCAGGAACAGCTTGATAGCTGTTAGATTCTCGAAGGCGACGGCTTCGAAGATGGGAGTTTTGCCCTGGCCGTTGAGGGCGTTCACATTGGCGCCACATGTGAGTAGCATCCGGAGCACGCCTTCCCCCCCTGCTTGGGCGGCAGCGTGGAGGGGTGTTAACGCCGAGAATCCATTTCCGTTCATCTCGTCGACATCAGTGCCGTGGTAAAGGAGCATACGGACAACCTCTAACTGATTTTTGCGGATAGCGCCATGGAGGAGGTCTTTCTCGCCTACATCGGCCGGTCCTACTGTGAACCCATATTCAGTTAGCCTATTCGTGATGGCCGCAAAGTTTTCACCGGGAGAAGTGATGGCTAGGCGGTAGGCGCACTCATTGCTGGGATCGTGCAAGCTTGGTCGACGCGAAAGGATAGTTTCAACGATATCCAAGCGGCCTCCCTCCACGGCCAAGAGGAGGGCAGTCTTGTCGAAGAAGGCTGTGGCATTCACATTAGCGCCTTTCTCCAGAAGCAACTCCACGATCTCCGGTTGATACTTCTCCAAAGCCATGTGGAGGGCCGTGGCTCCGCCCAGACTGGTGTCAGAGAACGCGGCAGCGTTGATGTCGGCGCCCTGCAAGAGTAGCTCCTCCACGATCTTGAGGTGGCCGTTGGCGGCGGCGAGATGGAGTGGCGTGGAACCGGCTTTCGATCCTGTCATCGTGACATTAACGTTAGCACCACCACTTAGGAGTAGCCGGAAAATGCCTTCGTGACCCTTGTGAGCGGCCAAGTGAAGCGCGGTCGATCGGTCGGATCGTTGTGCGTTTACACTTGCACCCTTGTCAAGTAAGAGCCGAACGAGAGGCTCGTCGCTACGGTTCACAGCGAGATGCAGAAGGGTCCCCCCCTTAGGGTAACGATGGCGAATGTCGGGGCCACGCGCCAGCATGTTGCTCAGAGGCTCCAGGTTGTCTCTGTCAACTGCCGACCGAATTTCATGGAAACAGCAGAACTCAGCCTCGTACTGCACTATCTCGTTCAGATCCAAAAGCTTATCGACCCATCTTCGGTTGTGGTTCTCAACGTGGGCCCGCGGTTCAGGGGTTACGGCTCCAGAGGGCCCGAGGGTCCCTTCCGTGACGAGCATTTCTATGACCTCAACTCGACCAACGGCAACGGCCGCCTCTAGCGTGGGATGCGAATCTCCGTTCACAAGAATCTGGAGCCCGTTCGCGTTGAAGAGCCGACAGACACTAGGGAAAGCTATTTGCTCATCCTGCGCGAAGAGTACGTACCCTTCTAGCGCGCGCCCTTCACATTCGTCGACGACCAGAATTAGGCATTGCGCAGCGGTTGTACGCCCGGGCTCACTCGGCGCCGTCATGACCTCCGAAGGCGGAGGTGACGATCGTGCACGGGGGGGTGACGAGCGCGGACACGGTGCTGGCACTGGATCCTGCCGCGGCGGCCAATCTTGCATGCGTCGAATAAAATTGTCTTCGTCCTGCGCGAGGTCTTCTTGGATGCGACGAATGCGGTCATCACGCCCACTACGGGGTCCCGCAAGACCGGAGTCCAGCAAAATCTCAATCGGAAGATTACGTTCCTCGTCTCCCGGATTGTCTTGAAAAGGAGGCCCGCGTGACCGAGAAACCACGAGCAACCCACGCATCTGATGCCGGTGCTCCTGTCTTTGCGGGAGATGTAGAGGACGGTCGAGGAGAGGTGGGAAAGGTGGGAAGAAGGGTCTTTCAGGCTCATGGTCAGCATCACGCTCACGATCTAGGTCACGTTCGTCATTGCGTGGGCGTTCACGGTCGTCATTGTGGTTGAGGCGCCACGGGTACATGTGCCCATGATCTCTGCCCACTCGCTGGACGTTAAACAACAACTCAGCGAGTTCCCGGGCATTCGGTCCCTCGTTGCGGCCAGGCTGCAATAAGCCGCCGTTCTGCAGTAAGTCTCCCATCGCTGCTTCAGGCTCACGGTCGTGATCACGTGGGCGCTCACGTTCGTGATCACGTGGGCGCTCACGTTCGTGATCACGTGGGCGCTCACGTTCGTGATCACGTGGGCGCTCACGCTCGTGATCACGTGGGCGCTCACGTTCGCGATCATGTGGGCGCTCACGTTCGTCGTCTTCAATCTGGCCTCTCGGCTCGCCTAGGTCCGGTCTTTCCCTCCCAATCTCGCGGATGCGCAGCCTTCTCCTCATTCGATCATATGTTAGTCGGCGGATAGGCTCGTCGAATGGAAGGCCCGCCACTTCGTAATCACGCTCGCGGTCGAGGTCACGCTCAAGGCTGAGGTCACGCTCGACGATGAGATAACGCTGAAGGATACGCTCCCGGTCGAGCTCTCTGTCACGTTCAGGCTCTTGATCAAGGTCACGCTCGGGCTCTTGATCAAGATCACGTCCAGGCTCTTGATCAAGGTCACGTTCAGGCTCTTGATCAAGGTCACGCTCACGGACATCATCTTCGTTGCGGCCTCGCGCCGCGCTCATTCGCCTTTGCATTTCCGCTTGGCGATTCCGAAAACTTCTCATCTACTGCTCACGGCGTTCTTGGACGGTTCGGCTCTTCGTCGTGGCCGAGCTGCAACAGCACGCCATCCGCTATCGCCGCTGAAACACACAAAGCAGATTCGATTGTTCCACGGAGTTGAGGGAGGAGAGCGAGTGGGTGTCCGCATTGTTGCGTGTGTTACGGTCAAGTCACCGGACTCGCATCACGAGAACGGTTCTCGTCTGACCGAGTAACACATTTAAAGTAAAATGGAAAGCGTCCATCTCCCCCCTCCCCCCAAAAACCACCAATAGGGTCTCTCTTGAATTTCCGATCGTTAGTCTATTACTTACCTCCTGGGTCCATTGCATCCACCCGCTTTAACCGATAGGATCGCTCCATTTTTCCTCACATCCATACAGTTTCTCTAGAGCTCCGTCTGTCAACTTCAATAAGCATCCCGGTGGAAGTAAAGTAAAGGACTCAGCACGGAGAACCAAAGAATTTGGGTTCGAATAAATATCGTTGTTAGTCAGTACTAGCCGTTCTAGACGCGCTTTGCGCGTCCGTCACAGCTAGCCAAGGGGCTGCGCCTCCTGGACCCCCGGTCACTCGCTACGCGAGTGGCATTATTTTTCTGGTTAGTTGGACATTTGATTACTATGATGTACAAATTTTGGACATTCTCAAGACAAAAATGATTTTGTCACAGAACCTTGTTACTGAAGCGTGCCATCACATGCACCTTAATAAATATAATTATGTGGAGATGAGGCAATGATGAGGATCGATCGTTTCTGCAAAAACGCATTTGACTGGGACGTCAGTCCCATCGGGTGCAGGAAAGTGACAACCGTGGATCTCCTTCCGCGATTTGACTTGCTGAAGTAGCAAAAGTTCATCTTTACTTCCTAAGAAGATTATCGATGGCATAGGGGTCTAAAAACTACTCAACGATAGTACAGTTCGAGTTCCGAATCTCTATGAGCCCACTTGTGTTTTTTCATAGTTTTGTTGCATATGAATTTCTCTAATGTTTTTGTTATATTTTCCCTGATTGCATAAGTAATTTTATCCTCATTTCATCTCCCTTCTCTTTCATTTTTTCCTTTTTTGTAGAATCTGTGTCCATTTACAATTATTATTTTAAAATCTAGCTTTCCCTTAATGTATATTTGATGCTTCAAACGGAACCAACTTGTTTTAATGACATTTCCGGCGAAATCATGGGTTTTCCCAGGAAGGCAGCCTCTCGTCCCTCGCGGACTCTACTACTGCCAGATAAGTAGCTTTTTAGCCCTTTTCCCAGTTCAAACTCATGTAAAATATTCATATTTACCGCACAATCTGGCAACCTCTCAAGTGAAATAGAAAAAGGTGGAATCGACTGAAAGTCTGAATCCTTCGAAGTTTATATTAATGATGATGATATTCTTCACGGCCTCCTGATTATGATGAAATTTAAAATCAAACTCCCTGTTTACTTCTTTGAGAAAAACGTGTACACAAATTTTATTTTTTAGCATTCTTAAACGAAATATATGTATGCAGAGAAAATGCTAGAGATCGAAAAGATGCTCTTTTTCCTCGTTTTTTGCCGCTGTCGGTATAAGACTGCTTCAGAACAAAAGGCTCTGCAAATCCGATGGAGACTGTGCCGCGTATCTATCAAAAAACGCGTGTAAAAATGTCAAATTGTTAACGTTCCAGCCCCTCTTTCTCGAAATTGCCGGAAAGAAAGTTCGATTTTAAAACGTATCGAACTTAAAAGTTCGTTAAGATCATTATACATATAGCAATGCAAGGAGGTCTTAAAAAATACATTAAAACTTGTGTTAATGATACCAGAACTTAAGAGAGTGTTCGCCAAAGACTTTGTTACGAAAGGCACCCTATAATATCGCCAAATCGATGTTAGGGTGGTTTCATAGATTCAAATGCATAGTTTTGAGAAGATGCAATTCCGAATTCTCGTTTTACATGTTACGGGCACAAAATTGTCAGAACTTACAGCAACTTCAATCCCCCCCCCCCCCCNGTTGGACTAAAAAATGAAGCAAACAACTTACAACTTGTTACACTTTAGAATACTGGCGAGGGTTTTCCGTCGAAATTTCAGAATCTTGTTCATCGGCCTACGCTTCGCCTATCTAACACGACGAATCGATGTGATGGTTGTTTCATAGTAGAGTACCTATATTGAGAGAGTATGGCCACTGGGCCCCATGGAGAGGCTTAGGACCCAAAAATGGCGGTGCTTTGTTTTGGTTTTTGTGGATGGGAGGGGGGTCGTTGCCAACTTTTGACGGTTATCACCAACCGCACTTGCTGCCAACCTTACTACATCTAAGATAATTTTTCTCAAAAATTGCACACGATTAGCCTTAAAAATATGTAAAGATGTCGCAATAGTGCATTTGAGTAAATTTCTCGTTACGATAAGCAAAGAAAACTACATTTTGAGTCATTTTGCATTACGTTAATTTATGGCGTCCGCCATTTTTGGGTCCTAAGGGCTCCATTTAGCCTACGATGGCTGAGCTAATCAGAGATGGTAACCCCAGTGGCCATACTCTCTCAATATAGGTACTCTATTTCATAGATTAAAAAACATGATGTTGAGGAGATGCAATTTCGTATTCTCATTTTACATGTTCCTATTGACCACGTGACCTTGCAGTAAAAAAAGTGTCAACAACATTCGCACCCCGAAAAGCTCGTCTAAGGCGGGAGTCGAAAGTCGCGGTCCCGGCTGCGGAAATGAGGTTAAACCGCTGAAAGCTGGCATAGGGTGCCGAGGTTCCAGATTGTTTTTCGCAGTGGACCACTAGACAAGGCACGAATTTCAGCATTCTGATATATTTTTCTTGACCAAAATTTCACGTAAAACACGATGCGCACGACAAAAATTACCGAGATCGACTCCTTACGAGGATATTCAATGATTCTTGATGCGTGAATTCAAACCACCCGCTCATGAAAGCTTAATGCTCTACGTGACTCACATCGCGCTAAACGTTATCATGAACGTCTCTGCGATAAAAAAATCTGGCAGCCTCAATCTTTGCGCTTTGGCTCAGCTATTTGCTGCGGATTACGGCACGTGAAAGAGCGCAAAAAATCAAGGGCACCAGAAATTGCACGACATTTTTAAGAAACGCGTCAAATCGACGCAACAGAGCTTCGAAGAAGTTCTAGATTTTCGAAGCTCCTTGCTATGTAGACAATTGTTACAGCAGGGACTGTAAGGGATTTGCCTATGGAGCAAGGAGCGAGGAAGAGCCGTTGCGACAGCATCGGGATTTTCGGAGCTTCAATCATAGCATCAAATCTCATTCATGTTATCTATGGTTAACATGCAACATTTCCACATTAAAATATGTTTCATATTAACGAACATCGGTGGAAAATGAGAGGTGATAGCAATTTGACTGCCGTAGTGCATCATTTTCCCGCCATTCTGGATTATTTGAAATTCATTTGAGTCTTAGGACATTTTAAAAGCGGGTTCATCCAGGATTTTGGGTCCAAAAACAAGCGATAAATCACCACGTAATCTCCTCACCTGGTACTTTTATGACATTTAAAGAAAACCACAAGGTTTAGTGACCAGTGGCGTGGTGTGCTTTGCGATATATCGATTGGCCTGTCCTTTGAGCCCATGGTGTAGGGCCGATACATTGGGTGTTCCCACCGCACACCTCAATAATCGATTCTTTACCATAACTTCAAATCGGGAAATATCGATAATCGATCATACATTTCTCGCTACTGTGAGTGACCCACTCCCGGGAACGGAAGGGTTCCCACTTAAAACCCTAGCTCAAACATACTGAGACAAAAAACCTTACGAGCATGCGTGCAATGTACGTTACCCGATAATATCCGATATAATATTTACTTATGAAAAGAAGAATATTTTCCCATGGAGTTTTCAGGTACACAAGATAAAATTGTGAGCAAAATTCGCTGCATCCAGAAAAAGACATACGAAATGAAAGAAATTAGGAAACGTCCGAATTTTCATACTACGTTTACATTAATGTATACACGGAGAAAAAAACTTCGTGCAAGGGACCCGAAGTTGAGGTCTATGGATCTCTGAAGTTTTCTGATCACGCATCCGAAAACTTGAGGTCGAGCTGCCGAAGTTCGGGTCAGACATCGAGGCACTTCGGTATGTACCGAAGTACTTCAGATGTGTGGCCCGAACCCCTCGGTATATATCGAAGTACTTCAGATATCTGACCCGAACCTCGGCAGCTCGACCTCAAGTTTTTAGATACGTGATCCGAAAATTTCAGAAATCCATATGACCTCAACTTCGGGTCCCACGCACGAAGTTTTTTTCTCCGTGATACAACAGCGTGGAGGGTATGGATTCGATGGACATGAATCGATCGAAAATGAAGACGTGAATCTATCGACACCGATTCGATCGAAAAACAAAAATTTGAATCGATGGATGTGAATAAATCGACAAAAATTTGAATCGATGGATGTGAATCAATCACGGAAAAAACAAGACTAGTGTTGAGCACTACTGGCCGTTTAGTGGGGAGTAGTTGAGGGCTGGCGTCTAAGCGCTGTACAGCTCAACACCGGAAGGCAGTACAGGTGGGCACTGAACATGAGTAGTGCTAATCAGATGCCGCGAGACGTAGTTGCGCTCAACAGGTGTAAATTCACCCGTGAGACGTCGGAGTCACGATAGCCTGGTGGTAACGCGCTGGTCTTCCACCGGCGCAACCCGAGTTCGATCCCAGGCGGAGGCATTTCATATTTTACGCTCGCTCCAAAGTCACTTTAGGGCTTGACACTACTTCTTCCTTAGTGACCCAGCCTCGAGCTGTTTAGTGCCCAGCACTCCTCTGACTTGCTGGCTCCATTTGACCTAACCCTCGTTAGTGCCCAGCACTAACATGTAGGTCCCAACCCTAAGCTCGTTTTTTCCGTGATCGACACAGATTCGATTGACAGTTAATTTGAAAAACCTCGTGTCGATTCGATCGACATATATTGATCGAAAAATGAAACCGAG